CGCCCGATGAACAGCTTGACGATCCCGCCGCCGCCGCCGCCGCCGCCGCGCGTCCGCCGCAGCGGCAGCTCGACTTCCCGCGCGCGCGTGACCCCGCCGTCGTCCTCTCCCGCGCGCGCCGCCGCGCCGCGGTCGAACGACGCGACGTCCACGGCGTACGTCGCCGCGCCGATCTCCCGCGGCGCGCTCAGCGGGCTCCAGTCCATGACGCGCACGGTGAGCGTCGTCGTCTCGCCGCCGCGGTCGCGCGACGCCTCCTCCTCCGCCGCCTCCTCCTCGAACATCCCTCTCTGCGACGCGAACGGCGACCCGAACCCGCCGCCGCCGCCGCCGCGCGATAGACGCGGCTCGTCGTGCGGCGGCGGCGCCACCGCGTGCATCAGCGGAAACGCGACGCGGTGATTAAACTCGGGCGACGTCGTGTTGGCCCGCGTCGGCGTCCTTCGCGTCGCGCCGCCGAACGTCACCTCCACGTACGGCGAACACCCCCCTCCGCTTCCGCTTCCGCCGCCCGGCGCCGCGAGCCCGCGCGCGGAGACGACGTCGACGACGAGCGCGCCGCCCGCCCCCGTCGCGCTCGCGATCGCCGCGTCCCTCCCCGACTCCAAGAACGCCCTCTCCACGTCTTTGTAAAACCGCCGCGGCTCGACGTATTTTTCCTTCAACGCGTCCGCGATCTTCCCGCGGATGAACTCGTGCACGCCCGGGACGTCCCCGAGCGCGATCCCGCACGGCGCCACCTGCACGCTCACGTTCGGGCGGCCGACGAACGACACCTCGACGCCGCCCACCCCCGGCGCGCGGTCGACGAGCCTGAGGGTCGGGCGGAGTTCAAAGGCGTCAGGGGCGGAGTCGAAAGGCGTCGAGGCGCGTCGGGAGGGATCGAACGCGAGGGGTGCGCGGAGAGATGCGCCGAGAGAGTGACAAGTCCTCAAGGAACGGCGATCACTTCGCGAACGCGGTCGTATGGGGACCAGTGTGAACGCGAACGAACGCGCCTGAATCCGATCAGCACCCGCCCCTCGATCGCGAGGTCGGTGACTCTCACGGGGACGCGCACAGCTGGCACGAACTTCGCGGGCTGCACGACCGCGCGCACCACGATCTGCGACTGCACCGTCTGCCACTCCAGGTCGAACTCGAACTGGATGTGGTTGGACGACGGCGACGACCGCGCGGCGTAGAGGCGCAGCGTCGGCGGGACGACGCCCAGCGAACACTCCGCGACTGACGCCTCGCGCACGACGCCGCGGCTCGCGGCTCGCGCGTCCTCGCGCAGCGCCTCCTCCATCGTCTCCCTCGCGCGCGCGTCGACGACGTCCGCGATGACGCTGCGCCACTGGTGCCGCAGCGCGTGGTTCATCCAGTCCATCATCCCGCGCTCGACGGACGCGCACGTCGCGTCGCGCTCGCGGAGGTGCGTCATGGCGGATCTCGCCTGGCGCATCGCGCGCGCGTGCCGGCGGCGCGCGATCGCGAGCGCGACGTAGGTGACGCACGCGGCGACGACGACGGAGTCGAGGCGCGACGCGACGCGGAGGAGGAGGTTCAGGAGGAGCCGCGCGAGGGACGACGACGAAGACGACGACGACGCGGTCGACGACGACGACGTCATTTTCGCGTCATCATTCTGAAGAATTATCGTCGCGTCGTCGCTCGTCGACGGCGCGCTCTCGCCGGTTCCCCCGCGCGTCAGCCCGCCGAGCGCGTCGTCGAGCCACGCCGCCTCGGCGATCAGCGGCGCGAGCGCCATCGCGAGCGCGACGAGCGGCGCGACGAGGCGGGGCCTCGTCATGGTCGCCGGCGACGCGTGGCGTGTCACTCAATAATGACGGCACGCGCGCTCGCGCGCGCCTCGAGCGATGAACAGAAAATTCCAGGAAGTGCGCGATTGCCGTCGCGACGCCGCCCCATCACTCCTCGACGCGCCGGCGCGCGCCATCGCGTCTCGCGCCGCCGCGATCGCGCGCGTCGCGACCTCCCTCGCCCCCCTCGCGAGATGGGCAACCGGATGTCCACGGCGACGCCGGACGCCGGGCCCGCGGCGCCGCCGGGGCCGCGCGCGAGCCCGAATCCGCTCGGCGGCGACGTCCCGATGACGAAGGAGCGCGAGGACGAGCTGAGGCGGCGGTTCAGCCCCGACGGCGGCGAGAAGGGCGGTAAGAAGAAGGGCGGCGAGCGCGGCGGCGCGGCGGCGCGGTCGCCGTACCGCGCGCATCAGGGCGAGATCCTGCTGGACACGAGGAACGAGGCGAGGCCGCATCGATGCAACGATCGCGTCGAGGACGTCGTCGAAGCGCTCTTCACGGGGAACCGGCTCATCACCGTCCCGGCGGCGTTCAGGGTGGCGTACCGGTGCGTGACGTCGAAGCCGGGGGAGGAGCCGGAGGAGCCATACCTGTTCTTAGACCTTCCCGCGCCGGTGAGGAAGAAGCCGGAGCCGGAGCGGAGAGGGTGGTTCGGGTGGTTTAGGAGCGGACGATGAATCGAATCGATCGACGAGAGGCGACGAGATTAAAATAGACAACAAAGCGACTACGTCGTCTACGGTACGCGCGCTCGTCCAGTCATCGCTTCGCCCACGCGGGCTTCGCGCCCGATAACCCCAAGCTATCAAGCACGAACGCGTGCTCGTACGCCCTCTCCTTGAACCGCTTGTACCGGTCCGTCGCGCTGAAGTGCCCCGCGTCCATGTCCGTCTTGAGCAGTATCCGACTCGGCGCTTCTCCGCCTTCGCCTTCGCCTTCGCAATCGCCGTCGCCGAACGCGCCGTTCGTCGCGGCGTCGCGCATCCGCGCCGCGTACTTCGCGCCCTCCCAGTACGCCACCCTGGGGTCGAACAGCCCGGACGTGACCAAAACTTCCGGCTTCTTCCCTCTCCTGATGTTCTCCATCGGCGAGTAGCTCTCCATGTACGCGTGATACTTCTCCTCGTTCGGGTTCCCCCACTCTTCCCACTCCCCCGTCGTGAGCGGGATGGAAGAATCGCACATGGACACCATGACGTCCACGAACGGCACCGCCGCGACCGCGCACCTGAACAACTCCGGGCGCATGTTCAGCGCGGCGCCGACGAGCAGACCGCCCGCGCTTCGCCCCGTGATGCCCAACGTCGCGGCGGACGTCCATCCCGTCGTCACGAGGTGCTCCGCGACGTCGACGAAATCGTGAAACGTGTTCTTCTTCTTCAGGTACTTCCCTTCCTTCTCGTACCAGTACCGTCCCATCTCGCCGCCGCCTCGCACGTGCGCGATGGCGATGACCACGCCGCGGTCCATGAGCGGGACGTCCTCGCGCGCGAAGCTCGGGTCGTTGCTGACGCCGTACGATCCGTAGCCGCCGAGGAGCATCGGCCCGTTTTTTTTCCGCAAATCTTTTCGATACGCGATGGACACCGGGACTCTCGTGCCGTCGCGGACGCTCACCTCCACGCGCGTCGTGACGTACTTGTTCTGGTCGTACCCGCGCACCGGCGTCGTCATGACCACCTCTCTCGCGCCGCTCGCCACGTCGTACGCGTACACCGTCTTCGGCGTCGTGAGCGATTGATACGCGACGAACAGACGCGACGCGTCGAAATTTTGATTGGCGGAGACGCACGGCAGCGACGCGGACGCCACCGCGGCGTACACGCAGCAGTTCTCGGACGGCCACTCCGTCTTGGTCCACGACGCGATCGCCGCGACCGGACCCGGGGCGGACGACGCGTCGATCGACGTTCCGTCTTCCCCCCGCGCGTCGGTTGACGTTCCGTCTTCCCCCTGATGAATCTTGTCGTCCGGGAGCAACCGCAACACCCACATCGCGCTGAAGCCGTCCTCTCTCCCCTCCAACACGAGAAAGTCGCGAAACGCGCGCACGGTCTCGAGCGTCCGTCCCTCGCGCCACTCGAACGCATCGCCCGCGCCCGGGTGGGTCCCGACCGCGCGCCAGTGCTCTTCCCCCGGCGCGTTCAGAGGCGCGCACGCGAGGTCGAAGTTGATCCGCCCGTCTCGGTTCGTGAGGACGAACCACCGGTCGCCCCGTCGGTCGGGGTAGTACCGATGCCCGAGCCTCCGCGGCTGCATCAGCGTCGCCTCCCCCGCGGGCTTCGACCTCAAGTCCACGACGCGCGTCTCGCTCGTCTCCTGCGACTCGGATTCTATCAGCATGTGGCTCCCGTCGGAGGTCCGACCGAAGCCGACGCTGAAGAGCCATTCCATACAAAAACAGTTCATCGGTCAGTTGAAAGGGACCCACGCGATCAAGTGTTGAAACCGGGCGATGGGTGAAATACAGTACGTTTGTATACTACGCGAACGCACCTGAAGAGTTCGTCGTCCTCGACGAAGACGCAATCGTCCTCGCTCTGCGCCGTGCCCATCGCGTGCCGCCACACCTTGTTCGATCGGTGCGACTCGTCCTGCGTGCTGTAGTACACCTCTCCGTCCGCGTGGCCCCAGGACACGCCCCCGGCGGCGCCGCGAATGACGTCCGGGAGATGCTCGCCGGTGTTCAAGTCTTTGAAGCGAATCTCGTACGTCTCGTACCCGTTCGCGTCTACGCTGTACGCGAGCACGTCGTGCGCGTCGTTCACCTTGAACGCGCCCAGCGAGCAGTACTTCAGCGTCTTCGCGACCTCGTTCACGTCGAGCACGACCTCCTCTCGCTCTCGCTCTCGCTCTTCGCCCCCTCGCCGCCGGCGGCACACGATCGGGTACGCCTTCCCCTTGAGCGTCCTCACGAAGTACTCGAAGCGCTCGCCCCACGGGAACGACAGGTCGTCGTCGCTCTCCTGGACGCTCCGCACGATCTCGTCGTAGATACGCTTCGTCAGCGGCTTCAGGTGCGCGAGGTGCGCCTCCGTGTGCGCGTTCTCGTCCTCGAGGTGCCGCAAGATCTCTGGATCTTTGCGGTCGTCGTCTCGGAGCCAGAACAGGTCGTCGTCTCGCTCGATGGGCGGGCGCATCGGGTTCGTCCCGCGGTTCTCGCCGTCGACCGCGCCGAAGAGGACCTTGTGCGGGACGCGCTTCGCCTGCGAGCGGTTTCGCGCGTGAGAAGGAGCGGTTGGGGGGCGTCGACGCGCGTGAGAAGGAGGGGTCGGGCGGGCGGGGCGGAGCGAGGAGCGAGGGAGAGAAGAGAAAGAACAGCGCAGCGCGCGAGGATCGCGTCGCACCTTGGGAGGCGTCGGCGGCGTCGCCGCGGCGCGGGCGGCGCGCGCTCGCGCGGTCGCGAAGAAGCGCCCGAGCGCGGCGGCGCCGAGCGCGAGCGGCATCGCCTTCGCGAATCGCATCGTGTGAGAGGGACGGCGCGCGCGTCGGGGAGTGACGACTTCGATCGAGGTGACAAGACATCACGGCTTCGCTACGTGTGATGAGTCATCATCGTCGCTAGAACGGCCGCTCGCTGACGACGGCCCATCCCCCGCCCGGCTTCTTCTTCTCCTCGTCGTCCGTCCCCGACGACGCGCTCGTCGCGCCGCCGCCCTTCTTCTTCATCGCCCTCGCGACGTCCGCGCTCAGCCTGATGGCGAGCCGCGCGGGCGCGAGCCGCGGCGACGGCCTCGGAAGTTCCACCTCCTCCTCCTCCTCCTCCTCCCCATCCCCCTCCCCCTCCGCGCGGAACGACAGCGCGAGCACGGGCACCTCCATCGCGTGCCGCGCCGCCCACGCGTCGTTCGTGGACACGTCGCGCGTCTCCACGCCGCCTCCCAGCGACGCCAGCTCGGGGCTCACGGCGACGCCGCTGTCGCCGCGCATCACGACCTCGAGCGTCTCCCTCAGGCCGTCGCACAGGCAGCATCCGGGCTTCGTGTACAGCACGAGCGCGGCCGCCGACGCCGCCGCCGCCGACGCCGACGACGAAGACGAAGACGCGCGGGCGGCGACGGCGCGGGGACGCCGCGACGACGACGCGCGCGGCGGCGCCGGCGCCGACGCGAGGACGCTCGACGAGCACGCCATCGCGCGCGACGCGCGGAGTGACCCGAGCGTCGAGGCGCGCGAGCTCTCGGAGACTGCTGCATTTCTGCTGTGTCGTCTCCGGTGAATCGATCTCAGTTGAAAGGTCGTCGTGGGGTGAAGTCGATTTTCTCGCTCAATTTGACCCTTCGTGAATCGCGACGCGGGTCAGCTCCAGCTCGAACTCGTCCGACCGCGAGGCATTTCGTTTTCGCTCAAAACCCGCGAGCGTCTCGCTCGACGTCCCTCTTGATACGCGCGCGTAGCCACGTACCGGCACGCAGTGGACGCGGAGAAGTAGAGAGAGATGGTTCTCAAGACGGAGGTGTGCCGCTTCAGCGGCCTCAAGATCTACCCCGGGCACGGGATGCGCCTGACGAAGATCGACTCGCAGACGTACCTGTTCCTCAGCGCGAAGTGCAAGCGGCTGTTTAACCTTCGCCTCAGGCCCGCGAAGCTCGCGTGGACGACGCAGTACCGCAAGGCGCACAAGAAGGTGCGCGGCGTGAACGCCCTCGCGATGTGCAGACGACGCGTCGGGGCGGATTGGCGGCGGCGACGCGACGTCGCGTCGTCGACTCCGGATCCCCCGTCGCGTGTTTCGTTCGCGCGAGATGAGCTTTTTTTAGGGTTTCCGCGAACCATCGCTGACGTCCTCCCCCCTCCCTCCCTCGTCGCGCGCGCTCGCAGGACGCCGTGGTGGACGCCGCGCGCAAGAAGAAGCGCAGCGTCAGGCTCCAAAACCGCTCCCTCGTCAGCGCGAACCTCGAGGTGCGATTCGACCCGCGCCCTCGCCGCGAGCGACGTTCACGCACGCGGGTTTTTTTTCCCACGCCGCGCGAACGGAACGGGTCGCTCCCTCCGTGAAGAGAGAGAAGAAATCTTTCGTCGCCGTCCTCGCGCCGCCGCGGCTCCCTGACGATCCCCCTCCCGTCCCCCGCCCAACGTTCGCAGTTGATCACGAAGAAGCGCGCGGAGAAGCCGGAGGTCCGCGCCGCCGCGCGCGAGGCCGCGCTCCGCGAGATCAAGGAGCGCAACCGAAAGAACAAGGGCAAGAAGTGAGGGAGATGGAATGAGTAGAGTCTCTCTCTTCGCGGCGGCCGCGGATCGGTCGGCGAGAGGCGGGGTGGTGTTCTTAGCTCTGCGGTTGTGATGTGAGGCGACGCCCGCGAGCGGGCGTCGCGTACGTAAACCGCGACATCCGCGAACGCGTCGTCGTCGTCGTCGTCTCGATCGCGTCCGCGCGCGCCGCGTCGGTCCCCCGCCTCCCCGCCCCCCCGCGATCGCGCGTGACTGCGACTGGCTGGCGTCCGAAGATCTCGAATATCCCAGCGAGTGGATAAAACGACTGTTTCCGATTGCGCGTCGTCGTCGCGACGCGCTCGCGCCTCGCACTCTTCGCGGCGCGTCCCCCCCCCGATCGGACCGTCCACGCACGTCTCCACGATCACCGCCATGTCGTCCGCGATGTGCGCCGCCGCGACGCCGGCGCTGACGTCCGCGCCCGCGCGTCTTTCCAACGGAACCGTCAAGACGCGAAGGAGCGGCGCGACCAGACATCATCATCACCATCATCAGTCCGTCGCGCCGCCCTCAAGGTGCCGCGGCGGCGCGTCCTCCGCGCGCGCCTCCGCGACCGCGACCACCGCGACCGCGTCCGAGACCGCCGCGATCGAGGCGGCGACGAACGCCCTCCGCCCCTCCTCCGCGGACTGCGCCAAGACGCTCGTGCACCTCGCCAACACGGGCACCATCTCCACCACGTGCGACGACGGCGTCGCGCTCGGCACGTTCGCCTCCTACGTCGTCGACGAGGACGGCGGCGTCGTTCTCCGCATGCGCGCGGACGCGATGCACACGAAGAACATCGCGTCCGATCCGCGGTGCTCGCTGTACGTGCAGCCGGCGACGCAGCCGCCCGGGGTGCTGAGCCGCGCGACGCTCATCGGGAAGCTCGAGAAGCTCGACGCGGAGGACGCGGAGAAGGCGGCGATTCGGTACGACCGCGTCCACGGCGAGAACGTCGGCGTGGACGCGATGCAGAGGAACGACGACTACTACGCGTTCGTCGTCGACCGCGTCTTCTACGTCGGCGGCCTCGGGAGCGACAAGCGCGCGGAGGTGGTGGACGCCGCCGCGTTCGCGGACGCCGTCGCGGATCCGCTCAGGCGCGTTCACGTTTACACTGGTCCCCGTACGACCGCGTCGGCGTGGTGAACGCCGATCCTTAAGGACTTTTCCCGTCGCATCTCTCCGCCCAGGGTCCCTCGCTTTCAATCCCGACACACCTCGGCGCCTTTCAACTCCGCTTCTGACGCCTTTCAACTCCACCCCGACGTCGCTTTGAATGATGGAACGACCCTCAGCGCGCACGCGGCGTCCATCGTGGACGCGATGAACAACGACCGGTACGAAGACGTCGTCAACTTCGCGCGCGCGAGCCTCCCCGACGAGGCCGAGCCCGCGGAGGCGCGGATGCTGTGGGTCGACTCGCTCGGGTTCGACGTGCGCGTCATCACGAGCGGGGCCTTGAGCGGCGGGAGCGGGAACGGGAAGGTGCTGGACGTGCGTCTGCCGTTCCCCGCGCCCGCGACGACGACGCAGCGCGCGTTGTCGAGCCTGACGATGTTGGCGCAGACGATCTGGGAGGAGGAGAAGAAGTACGAGCCCGTGTTGGTGCCGGTGGAGATGCCGGAGAAGAAGGATGACTGATGAGAAGCGAGCGATTGACTCGGGGAGAGGGGCTTGAGGGGAGAGAAGAGAAGGCGACGGGACGGAGGAAGCGGCTCGTCTGATCTAATCATCGGTTTTCAATACTTAATACCCTCCACGGGAACGCATCGCGTCCGCGGTCGATCGCGTCGTCACGAGCACACCGGGAGGAAGCTGCACGCCGCCGGGACGTTCGCCGCCGCCCACGTCCCGATCCCGCCGACGTCGTAGTACGCCAGCCCTATCGTCGTAAACACCGCCAGCTGGCCGACGACCCCCGGAAGATTCGTCGGATCCGGCAGCAGCCGCGAGTACATCAGCAACCGCCGCTGGTCCGGGTTCCACGTATCCAGCCACCTAAGAAAGTCCCCCCACGTTTCGCTCTCCCAACGCAATTCGCCGTCCTCGATCGCGCCAGGGAGCCCGCCGCGGACGTGTCGCACGTCCGCGTACCCGGCTTGCCGCAGCTCGTACGCCGCGCGAAGACAGCTGGCGTCGGACGCGTCGAGCGTGCCGCTGCCCTCGCGTATCGGGCCTCTGGTCAGGTCGCCGCCCTTGGTGTCGATGAGGACGACACACGCTTTCTTATCGCCGCGACGGTTCGCGTCGCCGCCGCACACGGCGTCGTCGACGTCCTCGACGAACCGCGGGTTGCGAACTTTGGGCCGTTCCGTACGAAGCGATGATATCGGGGTGGAGTTGAAAGGCGTCAGACTTGGGAGTTGAAAGGCGTCGAGGGCGGGGATCTAAAGCGAGGGACCCTGGGCGGAGAGATGCGCCGGGCAAAGTCCTTAAGGAACGGCGTTCACCACGCCGACGCGGTCGTATGGGGACCAGTGTATAGAACGCGCCTTTCAGCCCGCCCTTGATCGAGATGGCGTACCCCACGACCCTGCGCGGCCAGAACGGATCGGGGATCGCGTACGGGACGTTGATCGAGCCCGCGAGCCGCCACTCGTCGTGCTCGATGGCCTGGCGCACGTCGACGAGCGTCGCGCGCGCGCCCTCGCGCGACGCCAGGAACGAGCGGAGATCCGACGCTTCGATCGTCCGCACGCGGAGCGCGTCCGACGCGATCGCGTCGTAGATCTCCGGCCACTTCGGCGACCCCGCGCCCTGCCCGGGAACGATCTCCGAGGAGGACGGCGGCGCGGTCTTCGACGCGGCGCCGACGCCGAAGAGCGCGAAGGGCGTCGCGGCGACGCGGCGACGGCGGCGGAGAGGACGGAGGCGCGATGGGTTCGACGAGAGACCGCAGTACTCGCGAGGGGACGTCGTCGTCTTCGTCGTCGTCGAGGACGAGCGCGGGGACGCCGCGCGGAGATTACGCGTCGGCGGCGACGGCGACGACGCGGTCGTCGCGACGGCGACGAGGCGCGTCGTGATCTGCGCCATCGCGCGCGCGGGGTGCGAGCGCGTGTGATGACGTCACGCCGGCATCGTGATTTATTCTTTGAGTCTTTTCAGTCTTTCACATCTCGTCGTGCCGAGGGGGGCTCCACGCCTCGTCGTCGTCGTCGTCGTCGTCGTCGTCGTCGTCGTCGTCGCCGTAGTCGATCTCGTCCTCCGCGTCCTCCGGCGCGGTGTATGTGATCGGCGGCGCGCGCGGCATCCGCGCGGGCGTCAGCCCCGTCGCGTCCGTCGCCTCCGCGTCCGCGCCCGCGGCGAGCAGCGCGTCGATGAGTCGCCGCTCGTGAAACTCGTGCGCCCAGTGCAGCGGGCCTCGCCCGTCCCTCGCGCGCATCTTCGCGAAGCACGGCTCCTCCGCGATCGAACGCAGCACGAGCTCGACGTTCCCGTGCGCGATGTGCTCCCACGCCTGGCTCTTGACCTCCGAGTCCTCCCACGCGGTCCTGGGGACGGAGGAGGAGGAGGAGGAGGGAACGGAATCGAGAATCATTCACTCTGTTCTTATTCGAGCGGGTTCGAGTCGCGCGCGGGATGGGGACGGGCGAGCGCGTCGGAGGGGGACTCGCGCGCACCATTCCTCGCACGCGTTCGCGGACGCGAACGACGGCGCCGTCGCCACGGCGAGGAGCGCGCACAGCGCGAGGACGAAGGCGTGGCGCGGCATGGCGCGCGATCGATCAATGGCGCGCGGCGCTCTCGAGAGCTGGCGGAAGGGACGACCGTTGTTCCGCTCGGCCGGGCGTCGGCTCAGTCGTCGTGGTCCGCTCGCGCGCACTCCGCGCCGCGACCGCGCGCGATGGAGACCCCGAGCTCCGCGCACGCCGCGATGCGCGACGTCGGGCTGAAGAAGGTCCGTCCGCGCGAGCGCGTCGCGTCGTCGTCGTCGTCGTCGTCGTCGTCGCGCGGCCGCGCCGTCGTCGTCGTCCGCCCCTCCTGATGCTCCGCTTCGAAATTCCAAATCTCACCTGTCCCTCGATCCGCCCGCGAACCCGTCGTCGATCCCGCGCGCAGCTCGAGCAGTTCCGCGCGGCGAAGCACCGCGCGGAGTCGTTCGTGGACGACAGCGCGTCGAAACCGCGGCGATACCCCGGCGCGGCCGCGTCGCAGCCGGGGTCGCGACATCATCGTCCCGCGCGCGATGCGACGCGAACCAAGGTAGCCTGCCTCGCGGACCTGGACGCGTTCGGCGCGATGCCGCCGCCGCGCGACCCCGCGGACGCCGCCGTGACCGCCGCGCTACCCGGCCGCGACGACGACGGCGCCCCGGAGACCGCGATCGTGGACGTCGGCGAGCTCGCGGTCCACGCGCGGACGCTGCGACGCGAGAGAGACGACGCGAACGCGCGATGCGCGAGCCTCGAGAAGGAGACGGCCGCGCTGCGCGCGCTGTTGGAGAGCGTCGGCGTGGAGCTGCCCGCGGTTTCCACGGCGACCGCGAAGGGCGCGAAGGGCGCGAAGGGCGGCGGGAAGGAGGGCGGGGCCGTGCGGCGCGAGGTGGAGCGCGTGGAGCGGCGCGAGGAGCGCGCGGCGGCGGCGGCGACGGCGACGACGACCGACGATCGGCTGGACGCGTGGCTCGTCGCGTCGACGGCGGCGGCGGTGGCGGAGGGGAGGCTCACGGACGACGACGACGACGCGTCGTCGTCGTCGTCGAGCGACGGCGACGGCGACGGCGACGGCGACGCGTCCGCCGCGGAGGACGGGTCCGGGGACGAGCGCGACGACGACGGGTGGCCGCGGTACTCCCCGCCCGGCGGCGGCGCGAGGGCGACGAGGGCGAGCGAGGGCCGCGCGGAGGAGGAGGAGGAGGAGGGAAAAGAAAACGTCGACCCGCGCGCGTTCGATCGATCGTTCGACGACGCCGTGGAGGAGCTCGAGGCGAGGATCACGAAGAAGCTCGTCGCGCTGTTAGATCACTGACCGACACGACCACGCGCGACGTCTTCGCACTGCGCGCTCGCGGAAAACTCGCGACTGCCGCGCTGAGTCACCTTTGTGATGGCTATACTATTTTTATGAATGCGACGGATGGATCCGACTCGCCGCGACCGCCCGCGCGGGCGGTGCTGTACACTGGTCCCCATACGACCGCGTTCGCGCGGTGAACGCCGTCCCTCGAGGACTTTACTTCCCGGCGCGTCTCTCCGCCCATATCCCCGCGGTCGGTCGACTTCACGCCGCCGACTTCTCGATCGCGCGAAGCGCTTTCCTATTCTCCTCGTCCTGCCACGCCGGGTTCAGATACTCGCTCACGAGCATCTCGTCCCGAGGCGTCTCCACGCGCGGCGTCCAGTCGCTCCCGTTGATCTCCTCCGTCACCTCTCGCTCCACCTCGTCGCAAAACTGCGCCAACGCCATCACCGTGTACGGCTGCTCCAACTGCATCCCTATGTCGTCGATACCGAGCAGCAACTGAGGTTCAAAGGCGTCAGAAGCGGAGTTGAAAGGTATCGCGGTCGGGGATTGAAAGCGAGGTGTGGGCGGAGAGAATCGCCGGGAGATAAAGTCCTTAAGGATCGGCGTTCACCACGCCGACGCGGTCGTATGGGAACCAGTGTAAGATAGAACGCACCCACGCGACGAACGCGGTCAACGCGGCGACGAGCGTCGGCGTCGGCGTCGCGACCGTCGCGACGGACGCGGGCAACGCGAGGAGCCACAGCATGAGACTCCGCGAGATGTGCCGCGTGTACGACACCGGCGTCGGCGTCGACGCGAGCCGGTCCGTCTTCGCCACCTGCGCGTGCAGCGCCGTGAGGTCGTTGTCCATCAGAAGCTGATATATGAGCTCCACCTTGCGTTCGTTCATTGCGTCGAGGCCGCGCGTGATGGCCGTCATGAGCTGCGCGGTTGAAAGGCGTCAGTTGGCGTTGAAAGGCGTCGGGGACGGGGATTGAAAGGTGGGGGTGGGCGGAGAGAGACGACGGCAAAAGTCCTTAAGAAACGGCGTTCACCACGCCGACGCGGTCGTATGGGAACCAGTGTAAGGAGAACGCGCCTGCGCGGGGACGTTGCCCGTCGGTTCGATCGATTCAAACTGCCCCGTCGGCGTGAGAATCCTCCGCAACCGCATCGTCGCGTCCGCGGACCCCTCCACGCCCTGCCCTCGCGCTTTCACCGCCCAAGGCAGCGCGGCGACGAGCGCGGCCATGCGCGCGCGGTCCGCCTCCGGGCACCACACCGCGAGCTTCCGCGACAGATTCCGAACGCTCCCGAGAACGTCGGCGAAGGAGTCCGCGGCGTCGCAGAACCGTCCGTACGCCGCGTTCGTTCGAAACCCGATGAGCAGCGACACCGCGCCGCCGACGACGGACAAGAACGGCGTCGCGGTCGCCGCCGCCGCTGTCATCCCCGCGGTCCACGCGAGCCCGGATTTGACCGCGAACGCGACCGCGGCGGCCCACGCCGCGACGGCGATCGCCGGCGCCGCGACGCGACGCGCGACGACGCTGCCGTTGATGGTCGTCAGCTGCTGGAAGTACCGCGAAGGGCTCTGGTACTCGCGCCACTCCGCGTCGCGTCGGAACTTGACCGCGGTAGTGAGGTCGCAGCGCGATTCCGAGAGGAGGCTCTCGTCGAGGCCGGGGTCGTAGGCGCCCGCGCCCCACGCGATGCACTCGATGTCGTTTTCATCGCGCTCGACGGGCGAGGAGGACGCCGCGTCCGCGGCGTCGCCGCCGTCGTCGTCGTCGGCCGTCGCCGTCGCGGCTTCGTCCTCGCGCGTCGTCACGGCGCGCGTCGTCGCGGACGCGCGTCGCCGACGCGCGCGCGGCTCGTCCGAGAGAGGAGGAGGAGGACGACGACGACGATGATGCTGACGGTGCGCGGCTTGGATGAGCGGCAGCGCTCTCGTCGTTGTTTTTCGCGCGCGCGCGAACGGACGGACGCCCGCCGCGGGCGTCGGCGTCGGCGCCGTCGTCCACGCCGCCGCGCGCATCATCGCGCGCGCGGTCCGTTCGGCGCGGCGTGTGGTCGAGACCGCGAGTTTCGAGACGGGGTCGCGGGAGCGCGCGCGCGACCTTTGGCGAGAGCTCGGCGGTCTATCCATTCGATGAACGCCCGCACACGTGGATTCTCGTTCGGACACGGCCGTACTCCGCTCGTATGAGCAGTTGGTAACATTCATCAGTTTGTGGTCTCGTACACGTACGCGACATCGACGACTTTTCCCGAACGAAAGCGAAAGCTCTCGTCAGCGCTCTCGGTAACATCGTCGTCGCAGTCCGCGCATGGCCGCTCTCGCGGCCGCGGCGCGCGCCTCGCCTCTCGCCGCGCCGTCGCGCCGCGCGCGTCATCGCCGCGATCACATCCGCGCGCGCGCGTCGCCCCCGACGTCGCCGAGCGTCGTCGACGACGCCGACGCCGACGCCGTCGTCGTCGCCGATCCGTTCGTCGTCTTCGAGAACGATGATGTGCTCTGCGTGCACAAGCCCGCGGGCGCGTCGTTCCACGGCGACGACCTCGCGACGCGCCGCCCGGGGGTCCTCGCGAGGATACGTCAGCTCCAAGCGTCCGGGACGCTGCGCGGGAGCGACTACGACGGGCCGCTGCACAGCGTCCATCGACTGGACAAGGTCACGAGCGGCGCGCTTCTCTTCGCGAAGGTGCGTTAGTTCTATACAAACGTGTTTCACCCATCGCTCCGTTTCAACATTTGATCGCGTGGGTCCCTTTCAACTGACCGATGAACTTTTTTTGTATGGAACGGCCCTAAGCGTCCGGACGTCGCCGCCGCGCTCGGCGCCGCGTTCGCGAGCAGGAGGGTGCACAAGTACTACGTCGCGCTGAGCGCGCGGCGACCGTCGAAGAAGATGGGTACCGTGCGCGGGGTCATGGCGAGGTCGCGGCGGGGGACGTGGAAGCTCACCAGGGACGAGCGCCGCGGCGGCGGCGGCGCGGCGGCGGCGGCGGAGACTCGGGTGCGTTCTATACACTGGTTCCCATACGACCGCGTTGGCGTGGTGAACGCCGATCCTTAAGGACTTTTCCCGGCGTTTCTCTCCGCCCACACCTCGCTTTCAATCCCCGTCCTCGGCGCCTTTCAACTCCACCTGACGCCTATGAACTCCACCACGACAATCGCTCGTATGGAATGACCCTCAGTTCGTCGGCCGCGGCATCGTCGGTCACGGCGAATCCAAGCGCCCGCTGCGGCTGATCGTGTTCCGGCCGCTCACGGGGAAGACGCACCAGCTCCGCGTCGCGGCGAAGTCGTTGGGGTCGCCCGTGTTGGGTGCGACGCGGACTCTTCATTCTGGTTTTCGTCTATAAAGTTGGTTTTCGCGTCCGGTCGGAGAGTTACAGTAGTTCTCTCGGCGGCGCGCCGGAGAGCTCGCCGCGCCGCGCCGCTCACCTCCCGTCCCCGCGCTTCCTCTCCGCCCGCAGGCGACGCCGCGTACGCGGGGAAAGACGCCGCCGCGAGCGAGGATCGCGCGTACCTCCACGCCGCGGCGCTGCGGTTCGCGTTGAACGGCGAGGTCGTCGCCGTGACATGTAAGGTGCGATTTCCTCACGCTGGTCCCCGTACGACCGCGTCGGCGCGGTGAACGCCGATCCTTAAGGGCTTTCTCTCCCGGCGGTCGCATCTCTCCGCCCACCCCTCGCGTTCAATCCCGACACACCTCGACGCCTTTCAACTCCGCTTCTGACGCCTTTGAACTCCACCCCGACGTTCGCTGGCACGGACCCTCGACCCTAAGCCGACCGAAGGCGCCGAGTGGAGGAGTCCCGCGGACGGCGGCGGCGGCGGCGGCGACGTCGGCGGCTTCGACCTCGCGTGGCGCGAGCTCGGGTTCGACGCTCTGCTCGACGACCCGAGCGGGGTGTGGTTCGAGGGACACGACGCGCTGCGGTCGTCGGGGGCGGAGTTGCTGGAGGGTTGACGGGCGACGCGCGACCGTACTGTAGCAGCCGACACTTCTGTTTACTGTTCACCGCACCGTCGAACCGTCTGGTTTACTTATCACTGGCGCGTCGTCTCCTCCGCGTCGTCAGTCGCGGGGACGCCGCCCACCTCCCCGCCGCGGACGCGAGCGCGCGTCGTCCTTCCTCCCGCGGTTCATGAGCGACGCGGCGTCGACGGAGTCGTACGTCTCGTCGCCGTCGTCGTCCTCGTCCCAGCCCGCGGATCAGCCCGATCCGCCGCGAGTCGACGCGACGGGCGCCGACGCGACGACGACGTCCCCCGGCGCGATGCCCTCGCCCTCGCCGCCGCCGCGCACGATCGACGACGTCGCGCGCGAAGACGCCGCGTGGCGCCTGTCCGCGGCGGCGAGACCGCACGTGCGCGCGGACGACGCCGTCGAGGGCGCCGCGCTGCGCGCGCTGCTCTCCGACTACGAGACGTGCGTTCGATGCGAGGCGGTCGCGGGCGCCGCGCGCTGGCGCGCGTGCGACGCCGCGCGCGCGGCCATCACGGCGGAGGAGACGGACGACGAGGAGACCGGATTCAGGGTCGCCGCGGTGATGGACGCGCTGGACGCGCCGCACCTGCGGCCGACGGGGATGAGGGCGCGGTTGGAGAAGGGCGTGGACGCGACGTGCCACGGCGTCGTGACGCTCCTGAGTAATCTATCGTCGATGAAGCGGCACAACTGAACCGAAGCGCGGGTCGAGTCGAGTCGAGGCGAGCGAGGTGGCGCGGTGTCGCGGCGGAGTACACCACGTCGAAGTGTTCGTGTCGACATCGACGATCGACGCGCGACGATGTTTACAGCGCTCTCTCTTCTCCTACTCACCGCACGTACTTCGTCGGCCGCGCATAGCCTTCCTCGATCTGCCGCCGCGCCCTGACGTACAGCGCGACGACGAACGCGGCGACGCCCGCGGCGATCTTCATCGACGTCGTGATCTCCACCCCGCGCCCGTCGCCCTCGACCTTGATCCGCGTCTGGCCGCCGTCGTCGTCGCCGCACCCTCGAAACTCGAGCAGCTTTCGAAGGTTTGGCTTTTTGCACAGGTGCACGGGCGCCGCGGGGCGAGAATATCCGCCCGTCGTGAACGCCGTCTTCGCGTCCCACTTCCTCTTCGCGCGCTTCAGGAGGAGCTTCACGAGCGGCTCGTCGTCGTTCGCCGCCGCGAGGTGCAGCGGCGTGCGTCCCTTCTCGTCCGGCAGCAGCTCCGCGCCCGCGTCCAGGAGCTCTCGCGTCATCAGCAGGTAGCCTCGGGGTCGTTGCATACGAGCGATCGTCGGGGTGGAGTTCAAAGGCGTCAGACTTGGGAATTGAAAGGCGTCGAAGGCGGGGATTGTGAGCGAGGGACCCTGGGCGGAGAGAAACACCGGGAAAAGTCCTTAAGGAACGGCGTTCACCGCGCCGACGCGGTCGTACGGGGACCAGTGTAAGGAGAACGCACCTCGGCTCGCGGCGACGTGCAGCGCGGACTGATCGTCCGCGTCCTCGTTCCGCGAGTTGGCCGCGACCCATCGCTCGCGCTTTGTTTTCATCGCCTTCAGCACGCGCTTCACCGCGGCGATATCGCCGTTGCTCGCCGCGCGGTACAGCGGGTCCGTCCCGTCGACGTACGGCAGCGAGCACGCGTCGCGATTCCCCGGCTTGAGCTTTTTCCTCCTCGTCTCCTCGAGCTCGCGCGCGCGCTTCTCGCGCTCGGCGTGCGCGGCCTCGATCTCCGCCTCGCGCCGTCTCTGGAGCGCTCGGAACTCAGCCTCCGCGTCCGCGGCGGCGGCGGCGTCGGCGCGCGCCTTCTCGTCCTCGAGACGCCGCGCCTCCGCGTTCATCGCCGCGTCGTCGACGTCCATCGGATCGATCCGTCTGATGTTTTTCGCCGTGACGCGGATGGATCCCTAACGACTTTTGCGCTTTACCGATCTGATTAGTCTATCGATCTCGCGTGCGGGTTCGCGGGAGACGACGCCGGGGAAGTCCGCGCGGGGACGACGGCGACGACGAGACGCGCGCCGTGGACGCGCGCGCGAAGAAGTGTGTGCCTATCGTCCGCTACGCTTGAGAAGCCGCCGCTACGTTCGCTAATCGTTTTCGTGGTCCGGTGGAGTCGTACGACGTCCGTCCTCTTCGTTTTTTCCTCGTCAGTCCGGTTCCGCGGGTTTCGGAGGTTCCGCCGTCGCCGCCGCCGCCGCCGCCGCCGCCGCCGCCGCCGCCGCCGCGGCTCTCGTGCGCTCGCGCCCCCTCCCGACGTTCGACCCCGTGTCCTGCGCGTCCGCGATCGGCACCCTCGCCGGCACCCCCGTCGGCACCCCCGTCGGCGCCCTGGTCGCGACGACGACGCTGTCCGGACGCGTCGTCGGCGCGCCGCACACGGGGCACCTCCGAACGAGCGGGAGCTCGTGCCCGCACCTCGCGCACCGCATCGAGATCTCGTCGTGCGCCTCGCCGTCGTCGTCGTCGTTCGCGTCGGCGGCGCGCGCGTCGGCGCGCACATCTTCCACGTGGCGCGATCGCATTCGCCCGCGACCGCGCGCGTGATACGGCAGCACCCTGCGGCGTATCCCGCGCCCGGCGTACCCGCCGCTCGCCCACTCCGGCCCCTCCTCGCCGCCGCCGCGCAACGACGCGCGGAGTTCGCTCTCGCCCAGGTACCGGTCGCGATAAGACGATGCCCCCGCGGCGAAGAGCGGCGACCCGAGCGCGAGCCGGTTCGTCGCCTTGTCCACGACGGTCGACGACGACGTCGACGACGACGACGACGACGACGAAAACCGCGACGCCTCTCTCTTGCGCGTGGACGCCTCCCTTCGCCGCCGCGCTCTGGACATCTCCGCCGGGCTCGGCGCGGTCGGCGCGAGGTATATCGCCATCCCTACAAACGCGAGCGAGACGTACAGGACGCGAAGATTGCGATCGACGCGTCGCCGCGTGTCCCCCGTGACGTGCTCTCTCGCGCGAAAACCAAACGGGTCGTCCGCGCCGCCGTAGTAGCGCCCGCTCTCGCGCCGCCCGGTCTGTCCGCGACCGTGGTTCTGGTATCTCGACGACGCGCCGCCGACCCCCGCGCCGTGACCGTTACCGCCGCTCAACCGTTCGTACGCGTCGCTGACGCGCTTGAACCGCTCCTCCGCGACGCTCGCGGCGGCGGCGTCCATCGACGCGTTGCGATCGGGGTGCCATCGCATCGCCGCGGCGCGGTACGCCGCCTTGATCTCCTCGTCCGACGCGCCTCTGGCGACGCCGAGGACCGCGTGCGGATCCATCGTCGAGTCGAGTCAGTCGCGCGGCGGCGGCGAGGACGACGCGGAGGAGAGGTCGGGTCGGCACGGCGCGCGCGCGATGGATGACGTGTTCCTTCTCCTCCTCACGCGACGTCGGTCCGTCGCTACCGCGTCGCGCTCGGCGCTCGCGCGGCGGGCATCGTCCCGCGGCGGTCGCTCAATCGCGCGTTGGGGTGGTGCGCGGCGACGCGCGGAAGTGTCGGTGTCGCCGCGCGCGCGACCGCGCGTCGTCGCGGGTCGGTCTGTCTCGCGAGTCGCGACTCGCCGCGAGCTGATGAGTTGGGAGCGGATGCGACGCGTACTCGTACCGCCGAAAAGTACTTTCTGACTGTGCGCCATACGAATGACCGAAGCCAAACGAGAGGCCGCGGAGGCAGGATATTAATTTCCGACCGCGACCGCCGACGTGACGCGTCGCCAGAATTCACAATTCGCACCCCCGCGGCCTCTTCGTCGGCCCGCGCGCGACGATGGCGAAGCCGTACTACCCCCCCCCTCCCGGGCAAGCGCCGGCGCCGACGTACGGCTACGCGCAACCGCAGCCGGTGATGGCGCAGCCGGTGATGCAGCAGCCCGCGATGGTGATGATGCAGAACGCCGGGCTGGGCTTCTGGAAGGCGTCGCTGTGCGAGTGCCAGTCCGACTGCGGCCTGTGCATGGCGTCGTGCTTCCTCCCGTGCTGCGTCCACGGCTCGAACGCGAACATGCGCCGCGACGCGCGCTTCATCGGCCCGATGGAAGGCTGCAACGGCGAGTGCATCTGCTACGCGATCGGGTGCTACGCGCGGCCGCTCTACGCGATCTGCGGCATGAGCGGCCGCGGGAATCACCGCGCGAAGTACAACATCGCGGGCGGCTGCTGCGGCGACTGCTGCACGCACCTGTGCTGCTACTCCTGCGCGGTCGGGCAGGAGTACCTCGACCTGAAGAAGCGCCTGGAACCTCCGCAGCAGGGCATGATGGGCGGCGTGATGATGTCGCAGCCGGGCGCGGTCATCATGCGCTAAGCGCCGCGTCGCGGACGCGTCGATCGACGATCCGCACGAAACGACGGTTTGGGAACCCTCGGTTTTTTATTCAGCAGAGTTGACTAAAATATGACTTGACGAGCGCTCGCGCGCCTCCTCGAGCAGTCGTGATGACTAGTCATGTAATGTATCAACTTTTATATTCTTCCAACCGCATGATGAGCAAATAGACTACGACGTGGGTCGTCTTAATCCGCCGCCGGAGGTTTCGAAAACGGCGACAGCGTCCCGATCTCCGGCGTGTCGGCGACGAGCTGGTCCACGTTCCACGCGTTCTTAAACAGAAGCACGGGCGCGCCCCACACGTCCTTCACGCACTGCGCGTTGAATATCCTCCCCGCGGCGTCCACGGCGTCCCACCCGCCCTCCACCCACCGCGCGACGTTGAACGGTAGCATGTCCAGCGTCGTCTCGACGCCGTACTCCTGCGCCATGCGCGCCTGCACCACCTCAAACTGCAGCTGACCGACCGCCGCGAGTATGGGGTCCTGCTTCAGCGAGTCTCGAGAGTACATCACCTGCACCGCGCCCTCGCCCAAGAGCTCCGCGACGCCCTTCTGAAACTGCTTGTACTTTCCCGTGTCCGCGTTTCGCAAGTACGCGAAGAGCTCGGGGGAAAACGTCGGAATGGGCGGCAGCACCCGTCGCTTTCCCGTGTACAGCGTGTCGCCGATCGCGAAACTCCCGGGGTTGTTTAAACCGATGACGTCGCCGGCGTACCCGCACTCGAGCACGGTCTTATCCTGCCCGAACAGCTGCGACGGCCGCGACAGCGCGACGGCTTTCTTCGTCCGCGCGTTGGTCACCTTCATGCCGCGTTCAAACTTACCGCTGACGACGCGAACGAACGCCACCTTGTCCCTGTGCCGCGGGTCCATGTTCGCCTGGAGCTTGAACACGAACCCGGTGAACGCGTCGTCGGTCGGGCCGATCACGCCGTCGCTCGTCTCTCTCCCGCGCGGTCGGACCGAGTACCCTAAGAACGTGTCGAGGAAGAGCTGCACGCCGAAATTGTTCATCCCCGATCCGAAAAATACGGGCGTGAGCGACCCCGCGTGCACGGCGTCGAGGTCCAAGTCGCTCCCGAGCTCGTCCAGGAGCTCGATGTCCTCCATCAGCTGCGCGTGCAACTCCTCGCCTATCCTCTCCGTCAGCGTCGCGTCGCCGACGGGGAGCACGGAGAGGCCCTTCGTGGACTTATCCTCTCCCTTCTTCGCGCGCGACTCCTTCGTCACCGCCGCGTCGAAGAGATGCACCTCCCGCGTCGGTCGATGATACACGCCCTTGAACGCGTCCCCGCTGCCGATCGGCCAGTTCACCGCGTACGTGGGCAGGTCGAACTCGCGCTCGATCTGGTCCAGGAGCTCGAGCGGCTCGAGCGACGGGCGGTCGAGCTTGTTGCAGAAGGTGAAGATGGGCAAGCCGTTGAGGCGGCACACCTCGAACAGCTTGCGCGTCTGCGGCTCCAAACCTTTCGCGGCGTCGACGAGCATGACCGCGTTGTCCGCGGCGCTGACGGTTCGGTACGTGTCCTCGCTGAAGTCCGCGTGCCCGGGGGTGTCGAGAAGGTTCAGCGTGAAGCCGTCGTACTCGAACGACAGCGCGGTGGACGATATCGAGATTCCTGAGGGTCGAGGGTCCATCCATCGAAGCGACGTCGGGGTGGAGTCGAAAGACGTCAGAAGCGGAGTTGAAAGGCGTCGCGGTGCGTCGGGATTCAAACCGAGGGGCGCGCGGAGAGAAACGAACGCTGGGAGAGAAAGTCCTCAAGGAATGAAGTTCACGACGCGAACGCGGTCGTACGGGGACCGGCGCGAGGAACAGAACGCGCCTCTCTGCTTTTCCATCTCCATCCAATCCGACGTCGCCGCCTTCGCGCCGCGTCGCGCGCGCACCGCGCCAGCCTCTTGGATCGCGCCGCCGTAGTACAGGAGCTTCTCCGTGAGCGTCGTCTTCCCCGCGTCCGGGTGGGAGATGATCGCGAACGTCCGTCGCGAGTTCACCTCCGTCGCGAGGTCGCGCTCGACGGCCGACGACGGCACCGTCTTCATCTTATCTGGTGGAACGTCGTCCGACGACGTCGCCGCCGCCTCGCCGTCCTCCGCCTCCGCCTCCGCCTCCGCCTCCTCCGTCGTCGCGACGAGCGCTTCCGCGGCGTCCGCATCGACGGCGGCGCGGAGGATAGACCCGCGACGCGCGCGCGCGCCGCCGCGGAGAACGCGAGCGACGGAGAAGGAGGAGGAGGAGGACGACGACGACGACGTGGACGTTCCGAGGGTCGCGGACGCGCTGCGCGGCGAACACGCGGCGGCGACGGCGCGCGGGGCCGCGGGCGCGCGACGCGCGTCCGCGCGCGCGGACGCGCACGGCGCGCGCGCGACGAGCGAGGCGGCCGACGACATCGCGCGAGAGGACGTGCGTGCCAGCGCGTCCGTCTGGTGTGAGCGGCGGCGCCGCGCATCTTACCGTCTTGATGAGTGTCGCGCGGACGAGCAGCCGCGCCCAGAGTGTTCGACAGAAGAGACGAGAGGCGGAAATAGAAGACGCATCCGTCGCAGCTCTTATTACACAAAACCCAAAAGAATGCATCTACCTAGTGTCGCCGCGCGCGCGGTGCGATGCGCGCGACGACGCGTGCGAGCGGCTCGCGGCGTAGCGAGCCGCGGCGGACGCGGCGAGACTCGGTCGCGACGCCGCCCCCGCCTGAAAAAGACAACCGCGGATTTCGCCGAAAATACAAAACCCGCTTCGCGTCGCTTCGCGTCGCTTCACGCGTCACTTCACGCGTCAATCGCGTCACTTCACGCGGCGACTCAACGTCCGAGACATCGTCTGGATCTGGTTCCCGTGCGACCGCAGCGTCCCGCTCCCCACGCCCAAGGCTTGCTCCACTTGCATCACAAGCGACGATCCTCGCACGGCTTTGCCGACGGCGCCCGCCCGCCGCAGCACGTCCGTGATGGCGTTCTCGAGCAGCCCAGCCTGCTTGTACTTCTTGAACGTCTCCGGGGCGACGTCCACGGCGGCCGCGCGCTCGGTGCGAGACATCGGCACCTTTCCCGTTTTTTCGTTTCGCTGCTTCGCCGCGCCGGACGACGACGCGAACAGCTTCAGCGGGGATAAAAATCCGCTCAACGACTCGCGCTTGCTCTTCGTCTTCGGCGTCGCGGTCGACGACGACTTCTTCCCCACGCCGCCGGAGGACTTCGACGCGTTGAGCTTCGTCGCCTTGCTCTTCGGCGCGACGCGCCGCTTCGACTGCGCGCTCGTCGTCGTCGTCGAGGGTTTGCGTTTGGCGCCGCCGCTCGTCGATCGGCCGCCGCCGCCGAACGTCTTCTTTTCCCCCGAGCTCGCGGGCGACGGCGTCGCCGGCGCGAGCAACCGCGCCGGCGGCGCGTCGCTCGGCGTCGTCTCGAAGAAGAAGTCCTTCACGGTGACGCCGTGGCTCGCGGAGGGGTTCGACCCCAAGTATTTCGTCACCTCGTGCTTCGACTTCAGCGTCTTTCCGTCGGGGGATCTGTAAAACGTGTCGCGGTCCGCGTCCGGGGTGTTCTTCTTCAACGTCCCCGCGGGCCTCTTCACGACCGTGCGCTTCCACCCCTCCGGGACGAGGACGTCCGCGCCGATCGCCTTCCGACCGCTCGGGAGTTTCAACGGCGTCGGCTTGACGCGCTCGTCGCGATCGCGGTCGGTCGCGGTCTTGCCGCCTCTCGCCGCCGCCGCCGCCGCGGCGCCGCCGCGCGTCGGCTCTCGCCGCGGCGCGCCGCACCGCCCTCTCTTCACCGCGGTGTAATCGTCCTCGTCCACGCGCGCGCAGACGTTATCGTCGAAGATGCTCATGTCCAGCCTGACGCTGTCGTCCCTGCACTCGCAGATCCCCGCTTCTTCGCCAATCTCCACCCACTCCTCCGTCGCGAAGTTGCAGCTCTCCGCGCAGTTGAACCCGACGTTGAACCCGCTGTGATAGCTCCCCGGGTACGTCACGACGAACTCGCCGGGGTGCTGCATCATCTTCGTGAACGGGATGCCGTTCTGCTCGAGCAGCGTGGGGGAGATGAGGAGCTCCTTGTGTCGGAGAAATTCCGGGCAGTGGCGCCACATCTCCGGGACCATGCCCTGCGCTAAGATTTCAAACCGCTCGCGGTCCTCGGGGGCGACGGCGTACCAAAACTTCGGCGCGCCGTAGTGCAGGTAGTTGACGCTGTACAGGTCCAAATCTTCGGTGTGCCACGCGAACAGCGAGCGCCACATCCCAAAGTACAAGTACGACGAGTTCACGCCCGCGAGCGTGATGCCCTTCTTCTTGAGCGTGCGCGACAGGAGCGAGTCGAGCCTCGAGACGTCCCACCCCCAGTTGCTCGAGTCGAACAGCGTCCCGGGGACGTCCGCGCAGTACATCGGCGGGGAGTACGTCACCTTCTTCCAGAACTCGCGCTCGAGGGTCTGGAGGTTTCGGTTTCGGCGGCGATCGGGGTGGCGGGGACGTGGGTGGGGCGGTCGGTCAGACGACGCGGACGACGAGGAGGGCCGACGAGAGAGAGCGCGAGACGGAGAGAGAGAGGGAAACGTTGCGCGGAAACAAACTTCGTTTGCGGTCGCGCACCGAGGTGTCTTGCATCGCCGCCTCCGAGGGCATGTTTTCCTTCATCATCGCCTTCGGTTTGAAGTCTTTCTTGATCGACAGCGGCTTCTGCTCCACGAGCAGCGTCCGGAACAGCCCTTTCCGCCCCGTGGCGTGCTGCGACGGGAGAAACGAGGGAGGGGTCAGCGCGAGATCTGGCGCGAAAAAGCGACGCGTGTTTTTTTTCAAACCAAACGCGCGAGCGAGTGGCCCTCGAGGCGACGCGCATCCATGCGCTCCATCGCGCACCTGCGTTATCGGATGCGGCACCGTGAAGTCGACGTCGTCGTAGCTCCCCTGCCGCGGCTTCCACCCCGCGGGCGGGACGATCCGCCCGATCCCGAACTCCTCGAGGTCCTCCTCGATGCTCTCCACGTACGCCTCGAAGCTTCCTCTCATGTCCGCCATGGTGGGGTAAAACACCGGCGGCTCCCTGACTTTCTTCCCCATGGCGCCTCCGCGTTCCGACGCCGGCACGTTCTGTGGATGTCAGCGGTGGGGTGCGAGGATGCGTGAGCGCGCGAACGGCGGGGGACGACGCGCGCGCGCGTCGGTCGTCGCGCGCGGGAAGATTTCAAACAACGCTTTTTTTTTCCCTCCCCGGCGAGGACCAGGGCGGGGCGGGTGATCTGGCGCGCGCGAACGCGCGCGGCGCGCGCGCGGGGCGCGACGCGCGCGCGCTCGAGCGGGGAAACGGACGGGAACGCGAGCGCGCGTACCTTTCGCTCGCGCGGATTACGAACAGACGACCGCGCGCGCGTCCGTGGCGCGTCCCTTTCCTTGCGGCGCCGCGCGTTGTGTGCACGCTTCGCAGCGCGTCACCGCCGCTGAAGCGCTCGCGGAGCCGCGTTTCAAACTTCAAACCGAAATTTCACGGTTCAGCCGTGTCGCGCGCTCACTGGCTGACGATGAAAGCGTGCCACGCCACGCGCCGCAAAATAATATCTCGCGGAAATTCTCTTATTAAACGTCGTACGGCGCGTGGTTGGCCTGTGGGAACGTTCCGTGGGCCTCCCGAGGGTCGTTTGCTTTGTTTGCTTTTTCCTGCTGGCTTTTTCGCAGCTTTTCTCGGTGCGCTTTTTTCCATCTCGGCGTTCGTTCCGCGCTCGCCCCCGCCAGTACGCCCCTCCGCGGGCGGACGGGCGCGCGTCCCCCTCCTCCGCGAGCGCGATGCGCGCGTCCGCGGCCGCGGCCGCGGTGGCGCCGCCGCGCGCGACGACGCGAGGGCGCGGCGGCGAGGGAGGAGGACGACGACGACCGCGGCGGATCCCTCCCGCCGTCGACGGCGTCGCTCGGCGCGCGTCGTCCGCGCGGCGTCCGAGAGGATCGCTCGCGCGCGCGGACGCGACGACGCGACGACGCGACGGCGGCGGCGGCGACGACGACGACGACCGCGCGGTTGTCGCCGTCGCGCGGAGAGACGACGCGACGCGGTCCCCCTCCCGCGACGACGACGCGCACTCCGAGCGGCGGGCGCGCGACGACGCGGGGGGGATTGGATTCGTCGCCCGCGCGAGCGCCGCGCGCGTCGGCGTCGTCGCGGCGGCGCTCGTCGTCGCGACGTCCGCGCCCGCGGCGGTCGCGCTCGAGCCCGCGACGGCGCCGACGCCGCCGACGCCGTACCAGCAGCGCCTGCGATCGAACGCGGAGGCGGAGCCGAGCGGGATCGGCGCCGCGGTCGCGGAGGCGCCGACCGCCGACGCGACGCTCGACGATTCGTCGTCGTCGTCGTCGGGAGAAGCCGTGGACTACGCCGCCGCCGCCGAGTCCCCCGTGGACTACGCCGCGATCGTCTCCGACGCGGTCCAGGCGTTCGTCAAGCCGCTGCTCTCCGAGTTCGGCGCCGCCGTCCTAGGCTTCGGCGTCGGCGCGGTGGCCGCCGGGTTCTTCATGGGCTGGCAGCAGTCGCGCCTCGACGCGAAAAAGAATCGATCCGTCAACCGCCAGGCGCTCGCGGACCTGTCCATGCTCGACGAGGCCGAGATCCAGGAGCTCGTGGGCGAGCTCCCGGCGTGGCTCGCGTTTCGCGACGTCGAACGAGCCGGGTGGCTGAACAAGGTCCTCGCCGCGGCGTGGCCGTACCTGGATCAGGCGACGTCCGACGTCATCGTCGCGGCGTTGGATCCGATCTTGCAGGCGACGCGTCCGTCGTTCCTCACCACGCTGTCGTTCGAGCGGTTCTCGTTCGGGGACATCCCCGCGCGCATCGAGGGCGTGAAGGTATACGAGACCACGGGGGATGGGTCCGTGGAGATCGACCTTCAGGTGTTTTGGGCGGGGGACCCGGACGTCGTGTTGGGCGTCCGCGCCGCGCAAGACGCGCTCAGGTGAGACTGGTCCCCATACGATCCCGTTCGCGATGTGAACGCCGATCCTTGAGGTCTTCGCTCGCGCGCGGCGTCGCGCGCGTTTCTCTTCGCTCGTCCCTCGCTTTCAGAAGACTCCGCCCGCCGCGACGCCTGCCTCGCGACTCCGCGTCTGACGCCTTTCGACTCCGCGTCTGACGCCTTTCGACTCCGCCCCTCACACAGCGTGCCCGTGTCGCTGACCGAGTTCGAGTGCACGTTCACGCTGCGTCTCATCTTCGCGCCGCTCCTCGGCGTGTTCCCGTGCTTCGGCGCGCTGACGATCGCGCTCATGGACGAGCCGCAGCTGGACTTCGACCTGCGCGTCGTCGGCGGCGACGTCACGCTCGTCCCCGGGCTCAAGGTGCCTCTGCGATCGTACATCAAGGTGAGACTGGTTCCCATACGACCGCGCTGGCGTGGTGAACGCCGATCCTTAAGGACTTTTCCCGGCGTCACTCTTCACCCGCACCTCGCTTTCAATCCCCGCCCTCGACGCCTTTCAACTCCGACTGACGCCTTTCAACTCCACCCCGACATCAAGGCGCTCATCGCGTCGTGGATGGTGTGGCCGCGGTGCATCACCGTCGCCATCCCGGGCACCGGATACGCGCTCCCGAGCGAGAGCGAGCGCGAGAAGCCGCACACGGGCCTGCTGCACATCCAGGTGGTGTCGCACGACGGCCGCGCGATATCGCCCGGCGAGGTCGGGCTGCAAGTCCGCTGGCCCGTCGCGGATCTTTTGGTGGCGAAAAACCAGGAGGAGACGCGCGTCAAGGCGCTCCCCGGCGGCGGCGTCCTGAGCAGCAAGGAGATCACGCTGCCCGTGGAGGACCCGCGCGCGCAGCTGCTGTGCGTGCGGTGGTACACGCGCGAGGTCAGGGACGAGGAGACGGGCGTCGTCGTGACCCCCGAGCGGCTCGACGGCGAGGCGTCCGTGGTTCTGGACGAGCTCATGCGTCAGGCGGTGTCCTCCTCCTCCTCCTCCGTCGGCGGCGGCGCGGAGGGTTTAGAGGCGGACGTCGCGATCGCGCAGTGGGGCCCCGTCCCCGTCGCCGCGGAGCTCGAACCTCCGATCGGCGCGGACATCAAGTCCGTCGGCGGCGCGAAGGGGGGCGGGAAGCGAGGCGGCGGGTGGTTCGGAAGAGCCGCGGGCGCGGTGACGGGCGTGGTGTCCAAGTCGGCGAGCGGCGTCGTCGCGGGGTACAAGGCGCGTTCTCCTTCACACTGGTCCCCATACGATCGCGTTGGCGTGGTGAACGCCGATCCTTGAGGACTTTCCCGTCGTCTCTCTCCGCCCAGGGTCCCTCGCTTTCATTCCCCGCCCTCGACGCCTTTCAACTCCGCTTCTGACGCCTTTCAACTCCACCCCGATATCATCGCTCGTGTGGAACGACCCTAAGACGGTTCGCGCGGACGGTCTGAGCGGCGTGCGGCAGATCCCCAGCGCGGTCGTGAGCGGGTATCGGGAGGCGGGAGGCGGCGGCGGCGGGGATCGAACCGCCGGCGAGAGAGCGGGAGACGACGCCGCGGCGACCGGCGACGCGGCGGCGGCGTCCCAGGCGGCGGCGTCGCGCGCGAAGCTCGTGCGTCTGAAGGTTCGGTACCAACCTCTGGACGACATCATCGCGGCGGAGCGCGACGCCGCGGCCGCGACCGGCGGCGGCGAGAAACCCGCCGCCGCGCCCGCCGCCGGGGGCACAGGAGGGATGAACGGCGAGCGGATGGGGCCGCAGTACGCGATACAGGACGGGCAGTACGCGAGCGGACCGAGCGGGTCGTTCGACGGCGGCGGAACAGACCGGCGGCGGAAAACGCACGGCGTCGTCGTCGTCGGCGGCGGCGGCGGCTGGTCCGGGTCGGGGTCGTACGACGCGGACGACGACGAGCTCGACAAGATGCGCGTGCTCCTCGACGCGAAAGACAGAGAGATCTCGAGCATGCGGACGGAGCGCGCGCTGCTCGAGAAGGAGCTGAGGGACGCGGTGCTGTCCGGCGACGAATCGGGACGGGCGACGGCGAACGAGGCGGCGGCGGAAAAGTCGCCGTCGAAATCGAAATCGACGTCCGCGGCGCCCGCGCCCGCGACGGACCGCGACCGACTCGAGTTCTTGAAGTCCGCCGCGAGTCAGACGATCGTCGCGATCGCGGAGGCGTCGAAGCGCGAGCGCGACCTCCCGGACGGGGACGCGAGACGCGCCGACCTCGACGTCGTCCTCAGACGCGCCGACGCGCTGGTGACGAAAGCCGCGGCGGTGGCGAAAGACGCCGCGACGAGGGAGGCTGCGGACGCGGCGGACACGGAGGAGGAGCTCGCGAAGTTGAAAGCCGCGATCGTCGCGGCGAAGGAGAAGGACGCGTCGAAGGAGGAGGACGCGAAGAGAGACGCCGCGGCGGCGAAGGCGAAGGCGAAGGTTTCGCGACCGAGCCTCGCGATCGAGATGGGCGCGGCGGGCGCGCGCGCGGCCGAGGCCGAGGCGAGCGCGTCCGACGCCGTCGTCGCGGTGTCGCCGATGGACGCGGAGGTCGTCGTCGACGCGGAGGAGAGCGACGACGCGGGGGGGGCACAGGACGACGAGGAGCGAAGAGAGATGACGAGATGACCGACGAGCGACGAAGACGACTCTTCGAAAAGATTTTAACTTATTAATCCTCGTCCAGGAACGGGTTCGCGTACCGCTCCGGCGTGGGCGTCTCGCTCTCTCCGCGTCGACCTCTTCGCGCCGGCGCCGGAGGAAGCGTCCCGCCCGGCGTGGACCCCCCCGGGGTGGTTCTCCCCCCGTCGCTCCTCGTCGAGCTCGGCGTCCCGTCGTTCGTCCCGCCGCCGCCGCCGCCGCCGCCGCCGCGGAACAAATTCTTGAACGCGTTTCCGTTCCGTCCCCGCCGCCCCGTCGACGGACTCGGACTCGGCGACGCCGCCTCCACCTCGCGTCGAATCATCATCACGCTCTCCCACAGCGCCTCCTCCTGTCGCTTCAGCCCGGCCCTCGCGGCCGACCACTCCTCCGCGAGGAGGTCGATCTCTTTCGCCCCGGACGCGTCCTTCGCCTCGAGAAACGCGACGTCGGCGCCGAGCTTCTCGAGCGCCAGCTTGCACTCTCGCGTCGCCTCCTCCGCGCCGGCTCGCACTCTCGCGACCTTCTCGTCGACACGTCGCATCGCGTCCGCCTCGTCCGCGCTCGCGCGCTTCTTCGCGTCCGCAACCTCCTGGTCCCTCGCGATGTCGCGCTCGAGGAGCCCCGCGACCGCGTCCGCGGCGCGGCCCGCCTCCGCGGCGGCGGCAGAGGCGGCGTTTTCCGCGGATCGCGCCTTCGCGTCGAGGGTCTTGAACCGCGGCGCCACCTCCTTCACGAGCGTCTGCTCCACGGACTTGAGCTTCGCGTCGTGGCGTTTGAACGCCGCGGCGTGGTCGTCCTCGACGAGCTCGCCGAGCGCGGCGACGCGCGCGGAGAGCGCCGCGGCGGCCGCCTCGATCGCGTCCGTGCGCGCGACGAGCGTTCCTTCGTCGGTCTGGGGGGGGGGCGGCGCGGCTTTTTCCGCCGCCGCTTTTTCCGCCGCCGCCGCCGCCGCGGCGTCCTCCGCGGCGACGACGCGCTTCTCCAGCGCGTCGATCTTCGCGGCGATCTCGTCGTGCGAAGGTATCGTCGCGGTATCTTCAAGCGCGTCGATCTTCTTCTCTTCCTCCGCCGCCGCCGCGGGCGTCGTGGAGAGCGCGGAGAGCGCGTCGAGTTTTTCCGACAGTTTTTCCGACAACGCGTCCAAGGAGGCGCGAATCGCCGCGTCCGCCTCGCGGCTCTCGTCCCTCGTCGCCCGCTCCGCCACCTCCACCTCCGCGACTCTTCGCGCGGTGAGCTCGATCATGTGCTGATCGTCCATCGCGAGGATCCGCGCGTGCTCGACCGCGTTTTTCGCGGCGTTCGTCGCCGCGCCCTCGGCGACGGCGACCGCGGAGGCGGCGTCCGCGGCGGCGGCGGCGACGGCTGTCTCCGTCGCCGCGACTCTCGTCTCCATCACGCGCACCGCGGTCGTCGCGCCGTCTACGAGCTTCTCGTGCGTTTCGACCGCGTTCGAGACGCTCTTGAGGCGCTCTCTGAGCTCCACGAGCTCCATGAGCGTCGTCGCCGCGGCGTCGCCGGCCGGCGCCGGCGCCGGCGCGGGCGCCGGCGCCCGCGACGCTTTGGTCGCCGACTCCGCCGCGGCCGCCGCGGCCGCGGACGCTTCCGAGACCTGCATCGTCATCACGTCCACCTTCGCGCGCAGCTCCGCGAGCTCCGCGGACGGCGCCGGCGGCGCCGCGGAAGGAGGAGGGGGAGGAACGACCGTCGCGCTCGCGGCGTCGAGCGCGACTCGCATAGCGCGCACCTCCTCCTCGAGCGCCTTCCTCGCGCGCTTCGCCTCCATCGCCTCCACCTCCGCGGCCTCCACTTTCCCGACGAGCGCGGCGACGTCCGCGGCGACGCGCTCGCGGACGCGCGACGCGAGCGCGGCCTCGTCCACCCCGGCGCTCGGCGGCGGCGGCGGCGGCGGCGGCTGCGTCGGCGGCTGCGGCTGCGTCGGCGTCGTGTTCGCGGCGAGCGCCGCGACGCCAGCCTCCGCGGCGGTCAGCCGCGCGTCGAGCTTCCGCAGCGACTCCCCCACGCGCGGAACGACCTGCTCCGCGATGACCGCGACGCACCGCTCCTCGGCTTTCGCGGCCAGCGTCGCCTCGAGCGAGGCCATCGCGCTCGCGAAGATCTCGTCTCGCGCGGACGCCATCGCGGCCGCGACCGCCGCGCGCGTCGTCTCCTGGAGCGACGCCTGGCGTCGGCTCACCGCGTCGAGCTCGGACTGCACGCTCGCGAGGACGACGGCGACGTCGACGTCGGGGGCGCCCGCGGACGAGGACGACGGCGTCGCCATCGCCGGCGCCGTCGTCGTCGGCGCGGACGCGCGAGGGTTCGCGGACGCGGACGCGGGCGCGGGCGCGGGCGCGGGCGCGGACGGCGGCGGCGTCCGCGCGCTCGCGACCGAGCCGGGGGCGATCGGCGGCGTCGCGGGCGGCTCGCGCTCGCGCTCGCCTTCGATCGGCGGGATCGTCGGAGGGTCGTACGGCGCGCGACGCCCTCGCCCGCGCGCGTCCTCGGCGTCGCCTCCGCTTCTTCGAACGTCCTCCGCCTCCTCCCTCGCCGTCGCCTCCTCGCGCCTACTCCTCGCGACGACCTTCTCCGCCTCTCTCCTCGCGCTCGCGCGTATAGCGTCGTCCGTCGCTCTGCGAATCGATTCTATCCCGCGTTGCAGCGCGTCCATGCACGGGGGGGTGGACGCGGGGCGCGCGGCGAGAAGTGACGTCGAGCGCGCGAGATCCGCTGAATGGCCGCACACGCACGCGAGTTTATCCTCTTCTTACAAGCACGCGAGCTCTACAACGCGTTCAGCGTCGCGACGACGCCGCCGATGGCGCCGACGCCCAACACCACCGGAACGACGTAGTTCATGATCGGCGTCCTCTCCTCCGCGTCGCCGACGAACCCGACGTCGTCCGGCTTCCAGAGCGGGTTCCCCTCCGCGTCTTCGAAGTTGTTCGCCTCGAGCTCCATGACGACCGCGCGCGACGCGTTCTCCTTGTCGAAGTTGATCTCCGTGATGTCCCCGGAGATCGTGCCGAGGCCCATGGAGATGAGCTGCTTCAGGCCTTTGAAGTCGATCCCGGAGCCCTCGCCGTCCGCGTCGTCCGCGTCGTCCTCGTCGTCCTCGTCCTCCGCGGCGGCCTCCTCCGTCTTCTTAGACTCTTTGCCGAAACCGAACGCGCGGGATCGGACGCTCGAACCGCGCGGGGCGACGCGCGCGACGCCGCGCGAAGGAGAAGAAGAAGACGACGACGACGACGACGCGGCGCGGAGGGTCACGGGGGCGGCGGCGGGCGCGGCGCGCGCGGAGGCGGTGACGGCGAACATCGTCGCGCGCGTACGAGGGAGTGGCGAGGCCTCCGAGATCTGCGCGCGAATAAAATATCCAGCGGCCAAGTGGCGGAGCTCCATTTCAACGTGTGACGCAGGCGGTCCGCACTCGCCGAGGCACGCGGGCGGCGGCGGGGAAGCGCGCGTCCGTTCGCGATGCCCCCGAAAGGCTCGAAGAAGGCGCCCGCGGCGACGGCGAGCGCGCCCGCGGCGAAGACGTCCCCCGTCGCGAAGGGTGGCGCGACGGCGGGCGGGGGAGGCGCGGCGAAGAAGAAAAAAGCGAACGGCGCGTCCAGCCCGCGCGATCGCGGCCGACAGCTCGGGCTCTTCGAGTCCTTCGCGCGGCCGCCGAAGAAGCTTAAGACGCGCGCGGGCGGCGCGGACGCGGACGCGCCTCTGACCGTGCGCGTCGTCCCGCACGTCTACGACGCGTTCACGGTGAAGTTCCTGGAGACGGAGGGCGCGGAGCGCGGATTCAAATCTCGGAATCTGAGCGACGAGGGCGAGGACGACGCGCGACGCAGCGAGTTCGAGTTCGTGAACGCGTTCGACGCGCTCCTCCGGAACGCGCGCGATCAGATCCCGCCGCAGTACTTCTACGAGCGCCTCGCGCGCGTGCTGATGCGGCGGCGGCTCGCGCCCACGCGGAGGAGGCGCGCGCGCGCGGAGGCGGACGACGCCGAGGAGGACGAATCGATCGAGGCGTTCGAATTTCGCGCGCGCGTCGCGCGATCCGAGGACGCCAAGCTCGCGCGCGCGACGATCGACGTCTTCAAGCGCGTCCACGCGCTGCACCCGGCCGCGGAGATCGTGATGACGACGCGCTCGAATCCGATCGATTCGACGCCGCGCGGAGGAACGGACGCGGACGGTCCGGGGACGACGCCCGCGGTGGCGACGTGCGAGCTGACGTGGACCCCGATCGACTCGGAAGCGCGCGCGAGGGACCACCACAGCGACAGGACGCCGAAGAAGGGCCACGCCGGCGCGGGCGGCGCGGGGAGCGAGCGAGGGATCGCCGCGGACTGGCGGCGGTTCGCCGCGCTGATGGCGGCGGCGGCGGGCAAGCCGGAGACGCTCTGGCGGCTGTGCGACGCGTCGGAGGAGAGCGAACGCCGCGGCGACGGAGGAGGCGCCGCGCGGCGACGCGGACGCGCGGGACACGCCGGAGCAGCGCGCGGCGCGATCGACGGATCGGAGGACGAGGAGGACGAGGGAGATGAGGACGCGCCGCCGAGCCAGGCGCAGGCGCGCGCGCGCGAGCGCGCGAAGAAGAGGGAGCGCGCGGCGCGGGCCGTCGCGCCGCCGCTCGGCGCGACGCTGTTTTTTCTGCACGCCGTGGACGTGTTCGCGGCGGACGCGAACGCGCGGCTGGCGGTGTTTAACGCTCGAACGTCGGGCGTTTCGTCGGCATCTGAGAACACCGAAACGACGACGCTGGACGCCGCGGCGGAGACGGAGACGCCGCCGCCTGCGGACGGCGCGAGCCAGCCGACGAGCGACGGCGTCCCGGAGACGCCCGCGACGCCCGCGCGCGTCGCCGCAGGCGCGTGGGCGACCGGCCTCCTCCGCGACTCGCTCCTGTACCGGTTCATCGCGGACCACGTCCCCACGGACGGCGAGCGCGCGGCGTTCCTCGTCGAACTTCTCGAGCTCGCGGCGAGCGGCGTCGGCGGCGGCGACGGCGACGGGGAGACGCCGCCGGCGCCGCTCGCCAACGGCGCCGAGGACGCGGGCGCGAGAGACGTCGCCGCCGCCGCGCACGTCCTCCTGGCGTACGTCGACGAGCTCCTGGACGCGCTCGAGCGCGCGGGGGCGTCCACGGCGGGCGGGACGACGGACCGGCGGCTCGTCGCGATCCGAACGCAGCTCGACGACGCGTGCAAGCGGTGTTACATGAAGGCGAGAGGACTGAAGGACGCGGCGTCGAAGCGCGCGTTTTTAGCCGCAATGCCGGGCTCCGCGACGCGCAAGCTGCGACTCGCGCGATCCGTCCTGCGCGAGACGGTGATCGCGCGGCAAGCGCCGGGGGTGATGCGTCCGGGGATCGGGAGCCGCGCGGACGCCTCGGGCGCGATCGACGTGTTCGAGTACGCGTCGTCGGATCCGAAGACGGCGATCAAGTCGCAAAAAGAGAGCGACGGCAGCGCGGACTACGCGGACGCCGTGGGGCGGGTCGGCGCGATCATCGGCGCGTGCGCGCAGGCGGCGAACGAGATCGTCGTCGGCGGCGGCGGAGTCGATGGGGACGGGCACCGCGCGCCGCCACCGCACGCGGCGTCGCTGAGGGCGGCGGCGAAGGCGTTCGCGAGAGAGGCGACGGGCGGCGGCGGCGAGTTGCGCGCTCGCGACGCCGCCGTCGTCGACGTCGCCGTCGGCAGCGTCGGCGGCGCCGCGTGAGGGGAGGACGCGAGGGGAGGACGAGAGAAGATGAATTAAACCGCGCTGAAGAACTCTAATGCGAATGCGAACGCTATCACGTCGGCGCGTCGCCTTCGAAGCGCGCGGCGCGAACTCTCTCCTTCCAAGCTCTGTCGCCAGCCTCTCTCAACGCCATCGCCGCGTCGTCGTACGCGCTCTCCGCGCGCGCGTACCACGCCCTCGCCCGCTCCACGTCCTTCTCCACGCCCTTCCCCGTCGCGTACGCGATCCCCATGTGCACCTCGGCCTGGTCGTTCCCCGTCGCGTCCGCGACTTCTCTGAGCCATCGCGTCGCCTCGCGGTGCGACTCCGCGTCGTCGTCTCTCGTCTTCATCAACAGCAGCACGCCCAACGCGCACATCGCGTCGTAGTGCAGCCCCGCGCACGCGCGTCGGTACATCTCCGCGGCTCTCGTCACGTCCACCGTGGTCCCGAGCCCTCGGTCGTAGCACACCCCCGCGCGGTACGCGGCGTCGACGGACGCGTCCGACGCCTCGCGGCACGCGAGCCGTCTCCCGAGCGTCAACGCGTCGTCGCGGCTCGTCGGACGCGTGTACTCGATCCGCCCCGCGGCCTTGACGAACCAGAACAGCGCCTCCGCGCGCATCGCGCGCGACCCCTCCCCTCCCTTTTCCCCCTCCGCCGCGCACCGAAGCCCCAGCGCGAGCTGCGACCGCGCGTCCATGTAGTCCGCGCCGCGGCGGTACCACGACACGGCGGCGGCGAACGATTTGGCTACGACGCCGTCGCCGACGCCGTCGTATCCGGGCTCGAAGCACGCGCCGACGTCCTCGAAGGTCGTGACGCCGTCGCGCTCCAGCGCGCCCGCGGTCGCGACGTGGATGAACAGCGGCGAGTCCGGGCCCTCGGCGCGGAAGAGACACCCGAGCGGGGTCTCCATCGCGTCGAGCGCGGCGGGGTGGCCGGCGGCGGCGGCGACGTCGCGCCAACGCCACTCCTCCGACGGGTCGACGTCCAACCCGCGCGCGCCGTCGCGGTGGCACGACGCGAGCGTCCACGCGGCGGCCGCGTCGGGCCCGCGCGGGCGCGACGCGGCGTCCACGAGCGCGCGGACTTCGTGCGAGCAGCGCGCGCGGCCGGAGAGCGGTCTCGAGGCGGAGACGGACGCGGCGGGCGCGCGTCGTCGCGCGCGAGCGTCGTCGCCGTCGTCGCCGTCGCCGACCCACGGCCTCCCTCGTCGCGCGTCCTCGCGCTCGAGCTCGGACAAGAACGCCTCCAGCGTCTTCGCGCCGCCCGCGCGCGCGCGGACGTACCGCTCGCCCGCCGCGGTCGCGAGCTCGCGTATCGCGCCCGCGTGCCCGAGATCCGCGGCGGTCGCGAGAAACTCCCATCCCGCGCGCACGTTCGCGCGCGTCCGCGCCACGCCGCCCTCGCCGTTCCTGTGGTAGAACGACAGGTCGTGCGCGGCCGCGGCGTCGAGGGAGAACCTGACCGCGTCCCTCAGACGCGCGAGGTTCTCCGCGTCGGAGACGCCCATCGCGCGGCGCTAGTCTGTGCTCTGTGCTGGACGAGACAAGTGTGTGTGTTATTTCAAGTGGTCGTTACGAGTTCGTCTTCTTTTCAACCCTCGCGTCCGTCGTATTAAATCGTCTATCCCCGAGCCGCGGCGCGTTCGTTCGTTCGTTCGTTCGTTCGTTCGCGCTCTGTCGTCCTCCGCGTCCTCCCCACGCGCGCGACCGCGTCTCTTCCCTTCCCTTCCCCTCCCGACCCGCCCCCGACCCGAACCCCGTCCCCGTCTCTCCGTCGTCTCTCCAGTTCACTCCACCTTTTTCGCGGCGCCGTCCGCGGTCGCCGCCGCCGCGGTCGCCTTCGCCTTGGGCGACACGTGCTTGCTGTAATAAAAGTGCCCGAACAGCCCGAGCAGGGATATCATGTACACGAACAAGATCTGCGAGATGAACTTCGGGTACGGCGAGTACAGCGTCGTGTACACGGACTGCGCGAGGTTCAACGCGAACTGAAACATCTGCATCTGCGTCAGGTACCGACCCCACCACAGGTACTTCTTCCGCTTCCGCTGGTCCTTCCCCACGAGGACGGCCATGAGGTAGTACGTGTACATGCACACGTGCACCCAGGAGTTGAGCGCCGCGGAGAAGTACGCGTCCCCGCCGGGGGCGCGGTGCGCGATCATCCACCACACGAACGAGATGGTCGCGTGGTGGTACACGTGAAGGAAGCTGACTTGCTTCAGGTTGTTCTTCGCGATCATGATGAACGTGTCTGCGAGAGAGACGGGAGGGGGGGAGAGACGGGAGGGGGCGCGGGCGGTCAGCGATTGATGAGAGAGATGGCGAGATGGAGAGGAGATCGCGCGAGCGAAGACGCGTCGGGGATGGTGGGAGCCTCGGCGTCGGCGTCGGTCTCGTCTCGCGCGCACCGAGAAATTCGTATATTTTCGACACGTAAAAGACCCAGACGTAGTGCGCGAGAGCCGTCTCCTTCGGGTCGTACGCGTTCCCCCAGACTCTGTATCCGTTCTTGTACGCCTCTAATATGCACCCGCCGCACATGTACAGGGACAGGGTCACGAGGAAGACGTTGTGGAAGATCACCACGCCGCGGAGGACGAGCCCGTCCTTCGCGTTCGCATCCTTCTTCACGTTTTTGAGAACCTTGAACCCGGTCGCGACGACGAAGAAGTAAAACGCGAGGCTCGTGAGGAGCACCGTCGGGGACGCGACCGCGAACCAGTGCTTCGTGACCGGGCTTATCGGGTGCACCTCCCAGTTGATGAACTGCGCGGGGCCGGGGCGGGGCGAGGAGAGGGCGCGGACGGACGTCAGCGGCGGCGACGGATAATAGGAGCGGGCGAGAAAAAAAGCATACGCGGCGACGGCGACGGCGCGGCGGCAATCGACGACGACGGCGCGCGCACCTTCAGCGCTTTGAACGTCGCGCCCGCCACCGCGGCATCCCATGACTTCCACGCGTCTTGAACCTGACGCGACATGACCGCGACGTCCATATCTCCCGCGGGCGAATGCGTGAAGCGCGCGCGAGGGATGATGCGATGTTCCGTCCGTCCGCGGTGCGCTGTACGGCGAGCGGTAAAGCGCTCGGGCGATCACGGGCCACAGACGCCTCCACGACTTAACGACGGTCTAATCGACGAGTCAAATCGTACGAGGTGCGACCGACCGATCTTGGCGCGAGGCGCGACTCCAACTTGTCTTGTCTTTTGGTTTTCCTCGGAAGCTAAAACGCTCGGATGACGAGACCACGACGGAAGGACGGACTCTCACTCGCGCGCGCGACGACATGCCGCGCCTTGCCACAATTTTAGGAGACATCCCGGACATCCCATTGATACCATCTGATGCGATGCGTGACCATCACATGAGAATGGAATCCGAGGCCCTCCGACAGCACGCGGCGCGCCTTGAAAAAATGGACTTGAGCGACTACGACGCGGAGGAGGCCCAGGCCGAAGGCGAGGGAGCGATATGGCTGGAGCCGGAACCCTATCGTCCCCCCATGGAAGACGACCCGCTCGTGCGCGCGGCGTTCGAGGGAGATCTCGAGACGCTGACGAGACTCGCGGAGCGAGGCGACCCCACCTCGAACCCGCCGCGCCCGCCGTACGTGGTTCCGACCGAACCCACGAAAGACCCAAGAACAATCCAAATCGGAGGAGTCACCAGAACCGTGCACCGCCAACCCTCGAGGGAACGCCGCGTCTTCTCGAACGCGTGCACCGCCGCAGCCGCGGCGGGCCATCGCCGAGCGCTCGAATGGCTCCTCGATCACGGGTGTTCGCCGCGAACGGGGACGTGCGACACGGAGACGTGCGCGAAAGCAGCCATCTTCGGGCACCTCGACGTGCTTCAGTTCGCGCGTTCGCGCGGGTGCCCGTGGAGCGAGTTCACGTGTTGTTAAGCCGCGGAGAACGGCCAGCTCGCCTGCCTCGAGTGGTTGCACGAGAACGGCTGTCCGTGGGACTATCGCACGTTAAAATACGCGTCGGAGCGAGGACAGTTTGACTGCGTGAAGTACTACTGCGAAAACGGCGGATCGTTAGAGACCGTGGGCGGCAACGGAGGGGCTTGCGCGCAAGCCTCGCAGCACGGTCACCTGAAGATCCTCAAGTACCTCCGCTCCAAGGGATGCCAGTGGGATATCCTCTCGCCCGTGTACGCCCATCAACATGGCAAGGAAACGACGTTCAAGTGGATAGTCGCGCAACCAGACTGTCCGGAATTCGAAGAACGAGACCTTCAGTCTTGGTGGAACACTTCGCACCCAGACAACTGTGGAGCTTGAGCGTCCACGTCGGGTCCGCGCCGGCGTCGGAGAGTTCAACGGCGGAGAGCACGCACTTTATTAGTTTTTGGTTTCGGCAGAGAGCACTTTTTCATCCATCATCGCTCACAACCTCGCGAGCTCGTCCTCGCACGACTGCGCCGCCGCGGCGTCGCCCAGATCCCCGTACACGTCCACGAGCGCGCTCAGCGCCCCCACGAGCACCTCCTTATCCCCGCCCGCGGCGTCCACCGCGGCGCAGAGCTCGAACCGCGCGCTCTCCGCGTCGCCGCGCTCGTGAATCGCGCGGCCCAACGCGACGCGAACGTCAGCCCCCGCGCCGTGCTTGACGCTCCGCCGCAGCGCGCCCTCCGCGTGCTTCCACCGCCCTCGCTCCAAAAACAGGCTCCCGACCTCCGCGAGCAGCGGCGCGTGGTCGATGCCGACTTTAAACGCCGCGTTCAGCGCGTGCTCAGCCTCGTCGACGCGCTCGGAGAGCAACGCGACGAGGCAGAGGTACCCCCAGACGTCCGCGTTGGACGCGTCGAGCAAGTTGGCCTCCGCGAGCGCAGCCTCCGCGCCGTCGAGGTCGCCCTCGCGGCACATCGCGATCCCGGCGCCGAGCCACGTGGACGCGACGGGGGACACCCCGCACGCGGACATAAACACGCCGCGCGCGTCCTTGAGCCTGCCGCACACCAGCGACGCTTTGCCGAGATTGAGGATGAGCTTGAGCGACGCCGGCGGGTGCCCGCCGACGTTGTCCACGCCGCCGCTGAGCGCGAGCGCGTGCGTGTACCCCTCCTGCGCCTCCTTGAACCTGCCGCACGCGTAATGCACGTCGCCGAGCAGCTCGAACGGCCGCGGGTCCGTGGCGTCCACCTCCAGCGCGCGCATCAGGTGCGCGTACGCGGTGTCGTGCGCTTTGCTGAGCATCGCGCACCGCGCGAGGCACAACGCTCTGGTGATCCCGTCGGGCTCGCCGCGCCGCGCCGCGGGCGACATGTCCAGAACCTTGGACGCCGGCGCCGCGCACGCGAGGTCCAGGCACGCGAGCGCCGCCGCCTCGAACGCGTCGGGCTGCGCGGGGGACGGCCGCGCGTCGTCAAAGACGTGAGACATCACCTCCGCGGCGAGCCGCCGAGCCTCAAAGTCGCAGTTAGCCGCGTCCTCCTCGCGTTCGAGCCCTTCGTACGTAGCCGCGAGCAGCGCCCACGCCGCGGGGTCCGCGCTCGACGCCCTCGCGGACGTCGTCGCCGCGTGCGCGTACACCTCCGCGCGTTGATACTCCTCGTCGCACATCGTCAGGACGGTGAGGCCGAGCAGCGACGGCGCGTGCTCGCCGTCCAGCTGTAACGCTTCCTTGTACGCCTCCTCTGCTTTCCCGCGTCGCCCGCGCCGCGCGCAAAACGCCGCGTAGTCGCTCCACACGTCCGGGTGCCGACGCGTCAGCAGGAGCCGCTCCTGGTGCCACTTGTCCGCGACGTTTAACTTGTCGTTGATCTCGCACTCGTCCGCGTACGCCTTGTACGCCGCGAGCGCGGCGCGATCGACGCCGTCGTCCGGGTCGTCCGACGCGAGGTTTTCCGCGGGGGGCTTCCCCAGCGCCTTGAGCGCCGCGTGCATCTCCTCGATCAACGCCTGAGGGTCGTTCCATACAAAAATAGTTCATCGGTCAGTTGAAAGGAGACGCACGCGATCAAGTGTTGAAACCGAGCTATGGGTGAAAACTTTTGTATAGAACGCGCCTGGTACAGCTCGTTGTATCGCCCCTGGACGCCCTCGCCGCCGGCGTGGAAGCGCTGCTTGATGATCCCCTGCGCGGCCGCCTTCAGACGGTCTTTGATGGCGTGGTATTTCCCGCTTCGGTTGAGCTCGAACACGAGGTCCGACCGACGCTTCGCCTTCCCGAGCTCGTCCGACGGCTCGCCTGTGAACATCGACGCGTACTCCCGCGCGAGCGCGCTCGCGGCGTCGAGCACCTCCTCGCGGAAGTGCTCCAGCGATGACGTGTTCGGGTCTAGTGGCCCGAGCGGGGAGCGCGGCGGCAGCAGGTCCGCCACCGCCTCCGCCGGCTGCGTCGGCTTCCTCCACGCCGGCACCAGCGGCTTGTACAGCGAAACCTCGATCGACAGCGTCGGCGGCGCCGACGCGCTCGCCCACGCGGACTCGCCGTCCGGCGGCGGCTCCTCCGCGATCGGCTTCGCCCCCGGCGGAACCTCCTCCGGCGGGAACGGCAGGACCGCGACGGCGGACGCGGCGACGCCGAGCGGCGGCGGGTCCGGTCGCCGCAGCTCGCCCGACGTCGTCGTGACAGCTGTACCCGGGTCCACGAGCGCGTCGAGGTTCAACTCGCACACCGCGCGGTACGCGTGGAAGCACGGGTCGGTCGTCGTCTCCGCGTCGCGCACGACGCGTCCAACCTCGAACGGCACGCGCGCGCCTTTGCCCTTGACGGACGCTTTGAACGCGCGAACCTGGTCGCCGTCGAGCCACCGCTTGACGAGCGTCTCGTCGCTCCAGACGATCCTTCGCATCTTCAGATCCTCCTCGGGCGCCGGCGCGGGCTCTTCCCCCTCTTTCGGCGTCGGCGGCGGTGACGGCGGCGGGTTCCTCGCGAGCGCGCCGCCCGTCGCCACGAGCGGGTCGACGCCGCCCTCCGCGCAGCCCGGTATCGGGCACGCGACGGCGAACGAGAAGGCGTCGTCCGTCGGGTTTTCTTTTTCCGAGAGCGTCTGCATGTCGGGGTGGAGTTGAAAGGCGTCAGTTGGCGTTGAAAGGCGTCGAGGGAGGGGATTGAAAGCGAGGGACCCTGGGCGAAGAGATGTGCTGGGAAAAGTCCTTAAGGATCGGCGTTCTCCACGCGAACGCGGTCGTACGGGAACCAGTGTGAGATAGAACGCGCCTCCGGGATGGGCGAGAGCTCGATCGCGCGCAGGCAGAGCACGTTCCCCGCGCGCGCCTCCTCGGGCGTCAGGAGGAGCTCCGAGCTCCGCAGCTCCACCGCGATCGTCGCGTCCGGGAGGAGGTCGTTCACCGCCGCGCCGTCGTCCTCGCCCTCGCCCTCGAACGGCACGCGCGTCAGCGCGATCGACTCGAGGCGGACGACGCCCTCGTCGCGTCCCTACGAAGCCATGTCGGGGTGGAGTTCATAGGCGTCAGTTGGAGTTGAAAGGCGTCGATGGCGGGGATTGAAAGCGAGGGATGGGCGCAGAGATGCGCCGGCAAAAGTCCTTAAGGATCGGCGTTCACCACGCGAACGGGGTCGTATGGGGACCAGTGTGAGATAGAACGCACCTCGAGGAAGCCGTCGAAGGGCACGCGCGCGGTCGCGATCGCGACGTCGTCGTCTCGGCTCAGCGTCAGCGTCAGCGGCGCGTTGAGCAGCGTCGTGATCGACGGGCGGTCCGTCGCGGGGAGGAACGCGAACGTCCGCGTCGCGTCGCACGCGAACGCGCCGTCGTCGCGCGACTCGAACGGGCCCTCGTCGACCGGCTCGTCGGGCTTGCCCGGGAAGGCGTATCGGATCTTCAGCGCGGGCCGCGGCGGCGGCTCCGCGGGCTCGTCCTCGCCCTCCGCGGGCGGCGGTGGCGGCGCGGGGAACAGCGGCGACGTCGACTGCGGAGGGAGGGGAGGGACGCGAACGAGGGGGAGGGGACGGGGAGGGGTCAGATGGGATGATGAGGATGCGTGCGTCCAAAAGCGGGGCTAAAACGAGATTCGCTCGCGCGCGCACCAGCACGGTCACCGTGAACGTGAACGGCTCCGGTTCCGGCTCGGGCTCCGGCTCCGTCGCGTCCGCGGGGACGGATCCCTCCGCGTCGGGGGGCGCGTTCTCGTCCGTGGCGGACATCGCGCGCGACGACGTCTGCCGCGGGTCGTGCGAGGTGGCGCGCGGCGACGACGTGACTGACGACGCGCGAAGCGATGGGGTGCGCCGCGGTCAAACGACAATATTTCTTTCGGTTCGCGCGTCGACCGACCGATGTTCTCGTACTACGTTTTCTGCGTACTCTTTCCTGACTGAAACGCGTGCGGTGCCTGGGCCGCGCGTTTTTATTGGCTCGCGAGAGGAGCGAAATCCGCCGCGGCGAGCCCGTAAAGCGTCGCCGAGGGCGACGGGCGATCCATTCCCGCACCCGTCCCGCGCTCGTCTTACTCCTCAGCAGTAGAAAAAATGGCCGCCATCGCCTCCATGTCCGTCGCCGCGCGCGTCGCCGCGCCCAAGGTGCGTTCGGATTCGCGATGCCGCGCTCGCGCGTCGCTCCGCGCGCGTATTCCGAGACGCGCTTCCGCTCGCGCGATTTTTCGTTCATCGCGCCACTCCCCGGTGACTCACCGCGCCACTCCCCGTCCGTCGTCCCTCCCTCCTCTCCGTCGCCAGGTCACCGCCCGCCGCTCCTTCCTCGGCAAGGGCGTCTCCGGCCTCGCCCCCGCGCGGTACGTTCGCTCCCGCATCGATCGCGTCGTCGCGCGTCGCGCGTCGACGACGTTTCCGCGCGCGCCCAGTAGGGTCCGTTCCGCCGATAGCGCGCGGCCGGGGGGTCGATAAAAAAAGATGATGAAGACGCGGACGCGCGGCGCGCGGCGCGCGATCGCGCGACCGCGCGCGCCCCTCGAACCCGCCGCTGACGTCCCCCCCCCCTCGTCTTCCCCGACCGCAGCGCCGCCAAGGCTTCCGTCGTCGTGCGCGCGGCCGCGGAGAAGGTGCGCGTCAGCCCGCGTCGTCGTCGTTCGAAAAATCGCCCGATCGATCCGATCGATCGTTCCATCGCGAGGATCCATCTCCATCAACCAGCCGCTCATCCATCCGCGACGCGCTCACCGCCTCTCCTCTCCGTCATCGCCCTCCTCGACCGCAGGCCCAGGTGATCAAGCCGATCAACGGCGACCCGTTCATCGGCATGCTCGAGACCCCCGTCACGTCCGCGCCGATCGTCGCCAACTTCCTCTCCAACCTCCCCGCGTATCGCACCGGCGTCTCGCCGCTCACGCGCGGCGTCGAGGTGGGCCTCGCGCACGGCTTCTTCCTCACCGGCCCGTTCATTAAGCTCGGCCCGCTCCGCGGCACCGACGCCGCCGAGCTCGCGGGGTGCCTCTCCGGCGCGGGGCTGGTCATCATTCTCACCGCGTGCCTCTCCATCTACGGCGCGACGGCGTTCCAACGCGACGAGATCATCGGGGTCAAGACCCTCTCGGGGCGCGACATCTCGCGCGACCCGGTGCAGAGCGAAGACGGCTGGGCGAAGTTCACCTCCGGCTGGCTCGTCGGCGGCCTCTCCGGCGTCGCGTGGTCGTACTTCCTCACCCAGGTGCTCCCGTACTACTCTTAAGTCGGCGGCGAGTCGATGAGTCGACGAAGAGTCGACGAAGAGAGAGGCGGGACGCGCGGCGACGGTTGACGAGACGACGACGACGACGCGAGTGCCGAAAGAATGATGAGATCGGAAGAGAGAGGCGCGGATGGGCGCGGCCGGGCGCCGGCGGGGTAGTTTAGTGAGGCGGCGGGCGGAGGGAGAGAGGTCTCCCTCGCCCGTCGAGTGTGTGACGTGTCACTTGTAATAGTCCAATTTCGTTACGACGAGCGAGCTCCGAGCGAAAGCTCTCGAGTCGGCGGCTTCGCGTTGTGTGATGTGACTGCTTTTCTGGTTTCTTAGCGTGAATTGACGGAGCTTAAAGGGTTGAACCCTTCGGGTTCATTTCACCCTTAACTCTGTCGTGTGAGTGGGGGCGACGAGGACATCGTGCGGGGCGGTTCAAAGTGAGGCGGAGATATTATTTACATACTAAAAAACGGGAACATCGTCCTCATCGTCCTCATATCGTAGGCTAAATCCTAAAGAACCATTCTTGTATCTTATCACCACACTTTCGGCGATGGCCTGTTGAATTGAGGGGGTAATCATGCTTTCTGATGCGGAAATATCAATCTCTTTTTGGTCTGTCGCCATGTTGTAGTGAAGCGTCCAGGTCGCTCGGGTTGGGCTTTGCGAGTGTGCGTCCTTCAGGCGACCCTGAATAACGACAGTTGTCGCTGTTATGGGGCCTTTGACGCTCACAACTTCAACATTAAAAGTATCATCTGCCGATACGACATCAAAGCTTATGAGTTCGCGCACGTAGGGTATCATATCACGAGAGAACATCAAAGCTTATGAGTTCGCGCACGTCGGACATCGTGCGGGGCGGGCGGTTCAAAGTGAGGCGAAGATTATTTACATACTAAAAACGGGACTATCAAGCCTCTAGGCCCTACCGTGTATACACGAAGAGTTCAGCCCCTTTCTTGGCTTTCTTGTCGTAGAGTAGATCTGTCCTCGTTCCGAGCGCATTGCGTCATGTCGCGGGACGGCGTCGAGCCGCTCGACGCCGTCCCGTCCACGTCCTACGCCCCGCGCGAGTACGTCATCGTCAACGGCCTCCGATACGTCGTTCCGTACGTCGAGGACGTGATCTACAAGGTGTCGACCACTCGGGAGGGCGCGAGCGTGCTCGATTGCCTCGTCGGGCATCATGCGTTTCAAGGGCAGTGCGTCAAGGGCGGCGGCGACCGCGCGCACTGGCAGGGCGAGCTGGACGCGCGGCGCGTCGCGATCGTCTCCGACGTCCTCGCGCGGCTCCCCACGGGCGGCGACGTCCCGGAGCGCTGGTGGGCGACGCCGGCGTCGCTGGACGAGCGCGTGCCGAGAGATTCGCGGCTGCGCGTGCGACGCCACGTCCACGAGCCGTGCGTGCACGCGGAGGCGCCGGTCGTGTTGACCGAGGACGAGCGCGTCGTGATCGTGGACAAGCCCCCGGGGTTGCCCACGCTCGCGGGCGTCGGCCCGGGCGTCGCGGGAGAGAACAACGCGGTCGCGGTGCTGCGTCGTCTTCGCGCGTCGGCGTCGGCGTCGGCGAAGAGGAAGAGAGAAGAAAGCGACGACGGCGGCGGCGGCGGCGGCGGCGGCGACGACGACGACGCGCCGCTGTTCGCGGTGAACCGAATCGATAAGCCCGTCTCCGGGGTGTGGATCCTCGCGAAAGGGAGTCGTCTGTCCGCGCGCGCGCGCGACGCGCTGCACAAGGGCGCGGCGCGCGGGGAGACGCGCAAGACGTACGTCGCTCTCGTGAAGGGCCGCGTCGAAGTCGGCGGCGGCGGCGCGGGTGAGACTGCTCCCCGTACGACCCCGTTCGCGTGGTGCACGCCGTTCCTTGAGGATTTTTCCCGTCGTCGCTCTTCACCCGCGCTTCCCTTTCAACGTGGTGTTGACCGGTAAGACGTTCGACTGGCCGATCGCTTCACCCACGCAGGCGGCGGGGGGTTCGTCGTCGACGCGCCGCTTCGCAAGGACGAGCGCGGGCTGGCCGTCGTCGGCGGCGACGGCGCGAAGCCCGCGGCGACGCGCGTCGTCCCCCTCGCGGTCGTCGCGGTGCCGTCGAAGGGCGGCGGCGGAGAGAAGGAGGCACTGACGCTCGCGGCCGTCGCGTTGGAAAAGTCCGGGCGGTACCATCAGGCGCGTCCTCCTTTCCGCACCGGTCCACGTACGACCGCGTTCGCGTCGTGAACTTCATTCCTTAACGACTTTCTCGCCCGTCGGTCGTCTCTCTCCGCCCACCCATCTCTCCGCCCACACCTCGCGTTCAATCCCCGACCGCGTTGCCTTTGAACTCCACCTGACGCCTTTCAACTCCACCCCGCCATCGCTTTGTATGGAACGACCCTCAGATTCGCGCGCACCTCGCGCACGTCGGCCACCCGATCGTCTTCGACCGAGACTACGACGCCGACGCCGACGGTCGTCGCGACGACGCCGACGACGACGACGACGATCACGCGGATATCGCCGCAGATATCGCATCCGCCGATCCGCTGACGTGTCCCGGCGGCCGAGCGGTGTACGCCGACGACGAAGAGAGGACGCTGCTGAAGATGACTCGCGACGCGTACCAGCCGTGGTGCCTCGAGTGCGGGCTCGCGCTCGCGGCGCTGACGCGCGCGGACGACGCGCGCGCGTTCGGCGGCGACGACGCCGCGCGCCTCGCGGCCGCGCGCGAGGCGATGACGCGGCACGCGGAGGGTGCCGATGTGGATGATGACGTGGCGGATGACGTGGCGGATGATGACGCGGCGCGGCGGCGTCGGACGAAACCGAAGACGCGAGGCCGCGTCGCGTTGCACTCGCTCGAGTACGTCTTCGCGTTCGACGGAAAGCGATACGTCGCGCGCTCTTCGCGACTGCCCGCGTTCGCGACCGCCGCGTTTGAGCGCGCGGGCGCGAACGACCGGTTCATCGAGACGTGCACGGTGGATTCCGTGTGCGACGCGGCGAGTAGATAGACGAGACTTATTATGCGTATTAAATTCTGGCGTCGCGGAGTTGACGTTTGACGACTCGTCAACGCCCCGACGCGCTCGGCACGGCCCCGAGCGCGGCCTCCGGGTCGATCTTGACCCTCCAAAAGAACGCCTCCCGAGTCGGCGTATCCCCCCTGTAGACCCTAGACCCTTGAGCGGACCCGTCGCGCGGTCAAACCACTGTTTACTCTAAACTATCTCTCCGACCATCACTGCGACTAGGCGACAGCGTCGGGTCGAATCGCCCGTCCCCGCGCGTCGCCGGGGGCGAGTCCGACGACATCGCGCGCGGCGGCGGCGGCGCGGCGGGCGACGCCTCCGGCGGAATCAGCCCGAGCGCGCGCGCCTCGTCCACGAACGCGCGCAGGCGGTCCGAGATCCCGGGGGGCGCGTCCGATCTCGAACAGAGCTCGCGCACGTTTTCCTCCGCGACGATCGCGAGCGCCACCTCCTCCGTCGTCGGCGGCGCGTCCCCGCGCCGACGCGCGAGCGCCTTGAGCGTCGCGAGCACGCGCGCGTTCCTCTCCAAGAGCTCCGCGACGACCGTCCGCATCGCCGCGGCGTCGTCAGCCATGGCGGCGCGCGCGGGGACGTGTCCGATCTGGCGGGACGTGTCCGACAAAAAGAGGGATTCGATCCGTGACTCATCAACGGATTAACTGATTTCCGTGACTCTTCGTCCGCTCGAAGCGCGACGACGACGCGTTCGCTTTAAACGCCACGACATGACTACGCCCTAATCGACGCGCGCGCGCGCGACAACACGACACCCCCCACCCACAACCACGCGCCCACCCTCCTCTCATCCTAGTAGCCCGGTCCGCCGCGCCTCGCTCACCCCGCCTTGGCGTCGTGCCGGAACACCGTCAGATTCTGCGTGAACCGGTCCCTGTTCCGCGCCTCCAAGCTCCGCGTGACGCCGTCCATGAGCTTCTCAAAGTAACCGTCCATGAGCGGCCGTTTCGAAGGCGGCATCGACGCCGTGATCTCCGCCTTGAGCGCGCCGTAGTGCGCCTCGTTGACGAGGATGAGCGACAACGTCGGCCGCGACAGACTCCACTGGTTCGAACAGTCCTCGAACAACACGATGTCGAACAGCGTCTTGAGCATCTCGGGAAACAACGTCGGGAGCTGGTTTATATGCGCCGCGATCGCCTCCGCGCCCTGAGCCGGATTCTCCCCGATCACCGGGTTCACCGCCTTGAAGTAAAACCCCGCGAGGTTATCGATCGCGGCCGCGCACTGCGACGATATCGAGACGTCCAACGACCGCAACCCAGCCTCGAGCGACCGCGCGAGATGCGCGAACGTCGCGTTATCGCACGCCGCGACGACGTGCACGTGCGAGTGGAAGAGCACCTCCACGAGCGCGAAGTACGACTTGGCCACCTTGCGATACGTCATGATCTCCTCTAGGGGCATCGTGAGCGAGAGCGATATCGCCACCCCGAGCGCGTCTTTCAGCGCGTTGTCGCCGTAGAGATCGAACACGCCAAAGTTGACGTAATTGCCCGAGAGCGCGCGCATGAGCACCGTGGACGCGAGCCATATGCCCTTATACCGCCGCGGGTACGCCTCCGTGCCCTTCACCGGCGGCGCCGCGAGCGCGCGTCGGCCGTACGCGACGACGAGCTTGCTCACCTCGCGGAAGAGAAGGATCCCGTTCACGCTGGACGGCTCGAACGTCAGCCGTTGCGTCTTGTTCAACACAAACTCGGCGACGAATTTTAGCAGCGGCGTCGAGACTTGCGGGTCGTCCGCGTACGTCTCCATCGCGTGCAGCAGCAGCCCGACGTGCCGCGGATACATCCAGTCGAACAGGAGGCTGTACGTCCGCCGGCTGTTCGCCGCGGACGCGATCCCGCGCAGATCTCGGAACAGACCGATGAGCGTGTGCTTCACGGCGTCGGATCGAAACGCGTTGACGTCGCTCCTCGCCGCGTTGGACAGCTGTTCGCACAACGCGCCGAACGGCGCCATAAACTGCGCGAACTTCGCGGCGTCGTCCTCCATGAACAGCAGTCTCGCGAGCGTGGCGTAGAAGATGGTTCGGTTGCGCGTGTTGGCGTACTGCGACAGGAACGGGAAGTGGTCCGGCGTGTGATTCGCGAGCGTCGCGTTTATGGCGTCCAAACGCAGCAAGAGCTTCCCGGACATGAACCCGACGGCGAGGTCTTGAAGCAAGTTCAACGACGCCTCGACCACCTTGTCCACCTGCGCGAAGCACTTCAAGTTTTGCGTGATCTTCGTCACGGTCAAGTTCATGACCATGAGGTGGTCGTGCAACCCCATGCGTTCGGACAGCTGGACGTACACCTTGCTGCTGTGCATCGCCTGCTCGCCAACGTACACCTTGCGGAAATTTCCGAAAAAGTTTAAAACCGCGAGGTCCAACCGTTGCCGACTCTCCGCGCCGTACCGCGTCGCGTGGAACCCTTGGTCCATGACCTGAATCAGCTGAAACACGCGAAACGCGAGGTCGCCGTCCAGGCTCTCCTGCGGCTCCGAGCTGCTGCACGACAGTCGTCCGCGCACGACCGCGCCGACGATGTACACGAGCCACGTGAGCCTTCCCTCGACGACGCTCAGCGCGCTCGGGTCCGACCCTGCCGGCATGTTCGCAGCCATGTTAAACTCCGCGATCGTCGGGTCGATCAGCGTCGTGAGGAACTGAACCGTCGTCTCGTACCTGAACCGGCACAGGTGCGGCAGCGACTCGAGCTGATCTTGAAGCGACTCCTCGTTGTCGAGAGGGTCCTCCTCCGCGGTTCCCGACGCCACCGCCGTCACCGAGTCGATTCTCGACGTGATGAACGTCTCCGTTATGCGCGGCACGTACGCGTCGAGCATCGACGGCGCCTCGCCCTTGAGGTACGGCACCGAAGATATCAGTCGGCTCCACAGAATGAGAAGGTAATACACCGAAGACGACGCCCATTGCCACGACTGCAGCGACGTCAGCGTGAACTCGGCGACGTGCTGGATCCAGGTTTGGTACCCGTCCACGGCGACGAGCTCGCTGAGCTGATAGTTCGTCTTCAGCCGCGATAACAGACGGCAAAACTCGTGGTAGTTGTCGTGCTCGCCCAAGCCCTGGTTCAGTCGCAGCACCTCGGACGTCCCCGCGATCAGCCGCCTGAGGTACCCGTTCCTCTCAGCCTCGGACGCGAACAGCGACCGTCGAACGCTCGCGAGGCGAACCAAACACTCCAAAGCCGCGTTCGACACCGGCGGCGAACTCGCTTTGTACGCGTCGAACAGCAGCGCCATCGTCGCGGGCTCCTCGATGATCCCGCGCCACGACGACGGGACCTGGATCGTCCCGATGTCCTCCGTGGACTCGTCCAGAGAGGTCCCGACGAAGTCGTAGGAGAGACACGTGAGCGTCAACGCGCACGCGCTCTCTTTGAGCCTCGCCTCTGACGCCGGATCATTCTGAAGCGACTGCAGCGCGCGCAGGGATATCTGAAAGATGTTCAGAAGCGCGGTGTGCCGAAACGACACCGCGATCTTCCTCTGCGCGATGAGCGACGTCCCCGGGGTCTGCTGGTTCATCTCGCTCACGAGCTGGTTGAAGATCTTCAAACCGATGTGATAGTGCGTCGCATTGTTTTGCTCCAGAAACTTCATCACCTCCGCCGCGACGTCTCTCTGCGCCTCGTCCGCCTCGAGCCACCCCGTCTTCACGACGCGCGATAACAGCTGGATCTGCGCGGTGACGACGAACCCCTCCAGCGCGGTGCCCTTCGTCGCGAGGAAGTTGATCACGTAGGCGCGCATGTCGATGCGCAGTTGTTGCGAGAGCGAGTCGTGATCGGTCAGGAGTTTCGTGAGCGACGACGTCGCGAACAGCTGCGCGTACGGGCTCGTCGCCGCGTCTAATATCGCGCGGCACTGCGCGATGTAGTCCACGTTCGTGCTGAACGGTCGCAGCGTGTTCTCCGCGTGCGCGCGCTCGGCCGGGTTGTGCGAGTTGTACAGCACGTTGCACAGCGACTCGAGCTCGGCCATGGACTGCATGACGACGGCGACGGCCGTCCTCCGCGCCGCGCCGCCGCGGGACGACGCCGCGAGCGCGGTTCTCCTTCTTCTCCTTCTCCTTCTCCTTCTCCTTCTCCTCCGCGCGCCGTCCGCCCCGAGAACGAAGCGCGGATCGCGCGGGGGGGACGGTCTGACCGAGAGGCGAAAGACCGCGGCGGCGAGCGCGAGATCCCGACGAGCGCGATTCGTTTCGCCGCGATCGATAGATTCGCCTCTCAGGTAACAAGCGCCCCCGCGGACGATCTGACCGCTCGAGCCGCGCCTCCGCTCGCGATCGGACCCCCGCCGCGCGTGAGGACGGATCGGCGGTGCGCGGAACTCCTTCTGCGCGCGATCCCGTGCGGTGCCGCCGCGCTCTGGGCAATGCCGCGCGCACGCGGAGACGCGCGCGCGATAACTCGAATCGCGACGGAGTTGCCGACCGCGGACAGGACGACTGGAAGCGCGTCTGGGTCGACCGCCCGACGATTTCGCCCGCCAGACGGCGCCGCGCGAGAGGGATGCCGCCGCTGCCGCGCCCTCGGCTGGTGCTGCCGCGGTACACCCCGCAGGAGATCTTCAAGGTGTTCTCCGCGTTCCTCGCGAAGCACGAGTTCACGCACACGTCGAGCGTGCTCGCGAAGGAGCTCCTCGCGCGAGGGTTCGCGGACGAGGGCGATTTGTCTTCCGATGCCGCCGACGCGAGGAGCGGCGCGAGAGAATCCATCATCACGGACGCGATGCTCCAAGAGCACCTCGCGTTCTGCGTCGCGCAGCTGCAAAGCGTCGGCGGCGACGACGCCGCCGGCGGCGAGGATCGCGGCGAGGCGGGGATCGAGACGGGGATCGACGCCGGGGCGGTGCAGACGGAGTACGACGGCGGCGACCGCGGCGATGGCGACGGCGACGAGAAGGACGAGAAGGAGGAGGAGGAGGAGGACGACGACGACGACCACCTGATTCAGGACATCATCGAGTCGGACGAGGAGGATCCGTTCGCGGACGACGACGCGGCCACCTTGGACGGCGAGCCGGAAGACAGGAACGACGCGGACGCCGTCGCGACGACGACGACGATGACGACGACGACGACGACGACGGCGGCGACGAACGCCGCGAACGCCGACGACGACGAGATGAGGCGTTTGAAAGCCGCCGCAGAGGCGACGCGGAAGCGAGCGAGGCCGATGGCGACGGCGGCGACGGCGACGACGACGGCGGCGACGGCGACGGCGACGGCGACGGCGACGAGGGCGAACACGGCGCGGGCGAAGAGCCGCACGGGGTGGGACCAGGTCCGGCCCGGCGGCGGCGGCGGCGGCGCGTCGGCGGCGGCGCCGCCGCTGCCGAGAGGCCCGCCGCCGAGGACCGCGACGCGCGTGGGCCCCGGGCCCGGGCCCGGCCCCGGGCCCGGCCCCGGCCCGGGCCCGCCGCTCGGGAGGGAGCCCGGGCGCGAGCCCGGAAGGGAACCCGGGCGCGAGCCCGGAAGGGAACCCGGGCGCGAGCCCGGAAGGGAACCCGGGCGCGAGCCCGGAAGGGAACCCGGGCGCGAGCGCGACCGAGGGTTCCCCCCCCGGACCGAAGACAGGCGCGGCCCGCCGGGCGGCGTCTCCGGAGGACGGGGCGCGAGGGATCACGGATGGAGGCCGGGGGAACGCGGAGGCGGAGGAGGGAGGGACGGGAGGGTGTTCGCGCCGACGGTGCGCGCGGGCCGGGGCGCCGGTCCCGGCGGGAGAGGGGGACGCGCCGCGGTTCCGATGGGCAAGCGAAAGGCGCCGTATTGACTGGAAGGTCACAAACGCGTTTTAATACCAACTTTATCTCGAGTCGTCACGTCCTTCCCTCGCGCGCGCTCTGCACCAGCTTCGCGGCCGCCTCCGCCGCGCGCTTCGCCGCGGCCATCTCCGCGGAGCTCACCGCCGGCCGCTCCGGCGCGGCGTCCGCGACGCCGCCGGAACCCCCCCACCCGAACAGCGACGACAGCGTCGCCGAGACGCCTAAATCCGGCGCCAACTCCGCGACGCTCTCCAACGCCCTAAACGCCTCGCCAAAGTACTCCGACGCGCCCTCGTCCAACGTCGGGTCCGGGTCTCGCATGGAGAAGCTCCCGCGCGGGACCGCGGGCGAGGGCGACATCGGCGGGTCGGCGTACGCGCGCGGGGTGGAGGGCGAGGGCGAAGGCGGGGCGGCGGCGGCGGCGGCGGCGGCGGCGGCGGGCTCGATCTCGGAGACGACGCGCGCGGTCGACTTTGACTTCGCCGTCGCCGCCGCCGTCGCCGCGCGATGCGCCTCGCTCGCCCTCCGCATCCTATCCTCGTCCTTCCGTCGCGCCGCTTCCTCCTCCGCGGCCGCTCTCGCGCGCGCGGCCGCGACGTCCTTCGGGTCCGGCTCACCGAGTATGTACGCGATGGACGCCTCCACCTGATAGTCGTTCCATACAAAGCGACGTCGGGGTGGAGTTGAAAGGCGTCAGAAGCGGAGTTGAAAGGCGTCGAGGTGTGTCGGGATTGAAAGCAGCGAGGCGTGGGCGGAGAGATGCGCCGTAAAAAGTCCTTAAGGAACGGCGTTCACCACGCCAACGCGGTCGTATGGGAACCAGTGTATAGAACGCGCCTGATAGGCGTCCTCGGCTTCGACGTCAAACGGCTCGGCGCTCGTCGACGCCGACGCCGCCTCGCCCTCGCCCTCGCCATCCGCCGCCGCCGCCGCGCCGACGTCCTCGCCGTCGCGCCCCGTCGCCCCTCCTCCTCCTCCTCCCGCCTTCTTAACGCGCGCTCTGAGCGTCTCGAGCTCGTCGCGCGCGTCGTCCAGCGCCTTCTCCGCCGCGGCCACCTCCCGCCTCGACGCGGCGGCGCCCTCCTCCGTCGCGCGCCGCGCCGCGACCAGCTCCGCGCGCGTCGTCTTCAACGCCGCCTCCGCCGCCGTCGCGCGTCGCTCCAGCTGCGCGATCGCGACGCGCGCCTCCGCCTTGGCGTCCGCCGCCGCCGTGATCGCGTTCGCCTCGGCGTCCGCGGCGGAAGCGCGCGCGTCGTCCGCGGCGGCGTGCGCGGCGTACGCCTTGGGGTCGTTCCGTGCGAAGCGACGTCGGGGTGGAGTTGAAAGGCGTCATTTGAAGTTGAAAGGCGTCGAGATGTGTCGGGATTGAAAGCGAGGGGTGGGCGGAGAGATGCGCCGGGCAAAGTCCTTAAGGATCGGCGTGCACCACGCCGACGCGGTCGTACGGGGACCAGTGTGAGGAGAACGCGCCTCCGATCGCGCGCGGTCCGCCGCGTGATTCGCCGCCTTCAGCTCGTCCCTCAACCGCTCCAGCTCCTTCCTGCGCGCGGCCGCCGCCTCCGCGTCCCTGGCCGCGCGCGTCGCCTCCGTGTCCCTGGACGCAACGAGCGCGTCCTCGAGCGCGTCTCTCGCGGCCGCCGCGCGCTGCTCGGCGCGGTCGCGCGCGTCGTTCGCGGTTTGAATTTCCTTCGCCGCGCGTGATTGCGTCTCGCCGACGCCCGCGCGCTTCAGCTCGTCCTCTTTCGCGCGCACCAACGCAAGCGCGCGGGTCTTGTACTCCGCGTGCTCGCGCGCCGCCGTCGCGGCCGCGTCCTTCGCGGCGGCGACGTCGCTGAGAAGCGCGGTCTTCTCCGCCTCGCGCGCCGCCGCGTCTTCGGCGGCTTTCGACCTCGCCGCGGCGAGCTCCGTCTGAGGGTCGGTCGCGGGGTGGAGTTGAAAGGCGTCAGAAGCGGAGTTGAAAGGCGTCGTCGCGGTATGTCGGGATCGAAACCGAGGGGTGATGGGCGGAGAGTGACGACGCCGGGAAGAAACGTCCTCAAGGAACGGCGTTCACCGCGCGAACGCGGTCGCACGGGGACTAGCGCGACAAACGGGACGCGCCTTCAGCGTCGTCGCGCGCGCGTCGAGCTTGGTCATCTTCTTCTTCACGTCCGTCAGCGACGTCTTCACGCGCGCGCGCTCTTCCTCCCACGCCTTGGCCTTCCTCTCTGCGTCCTCGAGCGCGGTGCGCAGCGCAGCCTTCGCGTCCGCGGCGTCTCTCTCCGCCGCGGACGTCGCCGTCGCGCGAGACGCCGACGCCGTCGCCGCGTCGGCTTCCGTCGTCGCCAGCTTCTCTCGCGTCGTCGCCGCCTCGCGCGCGGCGCTCGCGAACTTCTCGCGCAGCGCCGCGGTCTCCGTCGTCGCCGCCGCGCGGAAGCGCTCGTCCGCGGCGGCGGTCTTCGCCGCGGCGTCGAGCTCGGCGCGCAGCGACGCGATCGTCGCGGCGGCGGCGGCGGACGCGGCCGCCTCCTCGTCGCGGTGCGTCTTCGCGTGGTCCTTTGTCTTCGCGTCGTCATCCTTCGTCTTCGCGTCGTCATCCTTCGCCGCGTCCGCCTTCGCCGCGTCCGCCTTCGCCTTCGCCGCCTCCGCGCGCGCCGCCGCCTCGTGCTTCGCGATCGCCGCGCGCTCTCTCTCCGCCGCCGCGAGCTTCGCGCGCGTCTCCTCCAGCGCGCGCGTCGTCGTCGCGGCGGCGTCCGCGTCCGCGCGCGATCTCGCGGACGCGTCGGACGCCGCCCTCTCCGCGGCGGCGACGCGCGCTTCCAGCGCGGCGACAACCTCAGGGGCGACGGCGTCCGGGTCCGGCCGCGGCGTCGCCTCCGCCTCGGCCGGCGCGGTCGCGGACGCGGCGGACGCGGCGGCCTCCTCGCGCAGGCGCTCGCACTCCGCGGCGAGCGCGGCCAATTTGGCCTGGTCCTTCTTCGCCCTCTTCGCCGCGTTCTCCAGCGCCTTCACGAGCTGCTCCTTGCTCGCGCTCGCCAGCGCGCCGCCGCCGCCGCCGGCAGCGGCGGCCTTCGGCTTCGCGACGGCGTCGGAGCCGTCGCCGCTCATGACGCGCCGTGCGCCCGCGCGCTCGGATCTGAGTCCGAGACGCGCTCGTCGCGTCGGTCGTGGATTCAATCCGACTGATGAAGCCCATCGTAGGATCTGACGAGATCTTCGTCACCACTCCCGCCGGCGCCGGCGCGCGCCAAGACGGCGGCATGGGAGGCAACAAGCTCGCGCGCGCGGAGGCGAAGCGCGCGAAGCGCGCCGTCGCCGTCGTCGACGGCGCCGGGGATCGAACCGCCGCCGGCGTCCTCCCCCGATGCGACCACTGGATCGAGCGCAAGCGCCGCGCGTGCGGGCAAGTCATCGCCCCGGGCTGCGGCGACCCGCCGCGGTGCGGGAACCATCGCGTCGACGGGCCCGCTCGCGCGCCGTGCGCGCACTGCGGCACCGCCGTCGCGACGACCGCGATGGAGAAGCACGCGAGGTGTTGCCCGGCGCGGAAGCACGCGCTCGAGCTCGAGTCGCGCGAATACTTTCGAGAGGACGTCAACGCCGGAAGCGACGACGACGACGACGACGGGATCCCCGACCCGACGACGCCGACGCGGCTGCCGCGCGGGGAGGCGCTGCGCGCGCTCGTCGACCGCGTCCGCGCCGCGCGCGTCGCCGCGGGCGTGGACGCGGAGACGCCGCCGCCGTCGCGCGCGATCGCGCCGGCGTGCGAGCGCGCGGCGGCGGCGCTGGCGGAAGCCGCCGCGGCGTCGGCGTCGGCGTCGGCGTCGGCGTCGGCGACCGACCCCGCGCCGGCCGCGACCGCGCGCCGCCCGTCGCACGTCGCGCCGTTCAACGCGAGGCACGCGACGCAGCAGGCGGCGATCGTGTCGCTCATGGCGTCCGCGGGGCTCGTGGAGGAGACGAGGCCGCGGGGCCCCGGAACCGAGGCGGCGGCGGCGGCGGCGGCGGCGGTCGCGCGGCCGCCGGTCTACGTCGAGCTCGGCGCCGGGCGAGGGTACCTGTCGCACTTCCTGTGCGAGGCGTACGGACCGCGCGACGTCGTGCTCGTGGAGCGGAGGACGTATCGAAACAAGGCGGAGCGGAGCATACGACGAGAGCCGACGACGGCGGAAAACCCGGGATCGGACCCCGCCGCCGCCGTCGTCTGCGAGCGCCTCAAGGTGGACATCAAGGATCTGGACGTGGCCGGCGTCGGGGTCGTGGACGGGAGGGACGTCGTGTTTACGGGGAAGCACCTGTGCGGCGGCGCGACGGACTTGGCGCTGCGGAGCGTCTTCGGAAGACGCTCGACGAGCGACGGAAGCGGGGACGGGGACGGGGACGGGGACGGGGACGGGGACGGGGACGGGGACGGGGACGGGGACGGGGACGGAAGCGGAAGCGGGGACGGAGGAGGATTTGGAGGAACTAAAATAACGTTCACGACCAAAGGCGTGGCCATCGCGACGTGCTGCCACCACCGCTGCGACTGGCGCGCGTACGTGAACAAGGCGTTCGTGAAGAGGTTGGGGTTCAAAAGCGCGGAGTTCGCGCTCCTGGCGAAGATGTCGTCCTGGGCGACCGACGGCTCGAGCGAACACGGCGGCGGCGGCGGCGG